AATCTTGAGGTCCTTGTCTCTAACGACTTTGTCGTCATGTTCTGCGGCAGGTTCGTCGTCTGGCGGAGGAGTTCCTGACCGACTACACCCAGCTGAATGTGGGCTCTCTGGACCTGTCGGCCAACCACAACATCCTGCAGATCGTCGACGTCTGTGAGAGCCACGAGAAGTTCCAGAAGTAAGTCATCACTGGGGAGTCTCAGGAAAACGCGTCTTTGGGTCATTGAGTGAAGTAATTCCTAGACATGTCATCTGTTAGCGCGCATAGGCTAGGTATCTTCAGTGTTAGTTTTTTCTAGTCATGCGATATGCTTTTTATTCCGAGCGCTAGAGTCACCGGTCGGCGACACATGTATGGCCGGCCGGTGCTAAGTGGCTCGCAAACGACCGTCCGGCGCCGCTAGACACCCGGCGTGCCGGCCACCGCGCGCCGGGTCACCGCGGAGCGCCACAGAGTCCGTACTGCGGACACGATACCGCCGCGGTCCGGGCACGGGAGGGGACGCTGGGAACAGCTGGGGAGCGACGGTATCGATCGGTATCGATTAACTGCACTAGTCTGGCTTCAGGGACGGGGAGGGGGGGGGGGGGTAACGGTTGCTGTTTGGTATTCTTTTTATAGAACACGCCAGCTGCCGCTATCCGGTTTTGCTTCTACAGTGCGTTTGATCTACGGAGTTTCGTATGTATTTCGACCCGCTTGTCGGATGTTTCGTAACTGCGCAGAGATTACGTAATGTTATTGCGCGCCAACGATAACAAGTCTGCAGGGAGGTCAGTTACCTGGTGGTACGGTCTAGTTCTAACCCATTTCTCACTGTCCTTCCCCAGACTGTTCCGCCTGCTGGAAGAAATCATGGCCGAGAAGGAGAACAAGACCATCATCTTCACCGAGACGAAGCGCGGCTCGGACGAGCTGACCCGCCAGATGCGCCGCGAGGGATGGCCGGGCATGTGCATCCACGGCGACAAGTCACAACAGGAGCGCGACTGGGTGCTACGGGAGTTCCGCAGCGGCCGCTCGCCCATCCTCGTCGCCACTGATGTGGCCGCGCGCGGTCTGGGTGAGTGAGACGGCGGCCGGGCGACCGCCCACCAGCCGGAGCACCAGTCATCCATCCGTCCAGCGGTAGAAGGGGACGGCCGGCGGGTCGTCCCTCAGGTCGGTCAGTCGGGGAGAAAGCCAGAGGTCGGCGGACGGCGCCGCGACCGACAGACACCGCGCACTCTGCTTCAGTCTGGGGAGGCGGCACGGAGCCGGGCACCGCCGCCGCGGGCGCCTCGGCGCCGGCGCGGCCGCGTCTCTAGTCGGGTGTGCTGCTGGGAAACGTAGACACGCCTGGAGAGACTCATTTCAATGTCACTGGTGCCTCGAGCTCTGTAGCGCCGCCGCCGCTGCCTCTGCGGGCGGTGGCGGCGGCGCATGTTGCTGCATTCCGTGCCGTGTGCGTGTGTGCTCTGTGTGGTTGTGGTGTGGGCGGGCCGGCGGATCGGCTCGGCTCGCGCCCGTGACGGGCCGCCGTGCCGCTCTCTGCGATTTGTTGCAGAGACTGGCAGCGGTAGCCGTGGAGGCGCTCTGGGCGCCCGCCGGCCCAGCACTGTCGACCCGCCGGTAGGTACCGGGCCGGCTGGACAGGCGAGCCGGGGGCGCAGCCCTCTGCAGCGCCCGTCACCGGCTGACCGGCGCCCGAGCGACCTAGCCAGCTCAGCAGCTAACTACTCCCAGCCACCGCTCGAAATTGGGCCCGCCGAGGGCGCAGAAACGGCTGCGCCCCCGGCCGAAGACAGAGTGGCATTTGACGGGAGTGCAGCTGGTGGTCAAACCTCCGCGCCCGCTGGAGATCTGGGCGGACTGACCGACTGGAGGGGAACGAGAGAAGAGGGATGGCGGAGATGGGAGAAGGAGCTGGGTCGCGGGAAGGAAGTGGAATTGGGGAAGGAATGGCATGGGGTGGAAGGGAAAATAGGGGTAGATTTCGGGTATTTGCTGTTTGTTTTGTAATTCTGGTGGTGGGTTTCATTGGATACTCGGTGGACGAATTGTGCACTGATTATTCTGGGAAGGCACGGGACATTATTCGGGGAGCTGCTGCCTCTACTGGCCGCCGAGGCGGCGGTCGCGGCCGGCTGTGCCGTGTGCCGCGGTCCGCGCTGGAGGTGCGTGCAGCCGGCGGCCGAGCCGTCAGCCGCCGGAGCTGCGGCCTCTGTCCCTGCCGGTCGGACGCCCAGGCAGAGCGCGAGGGAGGCGGGAGAGAGCGGGCGCGCACGGCTCACGTGAGTAGCAGCGCCGGGCCGCCGCCGGCCGGTGGCAGCTGTCAGCTGGAGACTTTCCCTTGGGAACGCCGCCGGCGGCGGCCCGTGTGCCGGGGCGCCGAGCGAGAGAGATACGGTAACTGACAGCTGCGAGCGTAACTATAAACTATCGTTTGGTGGTCCCCGTAACCGTCAACCGCTTCCTAACAACCCCCACCTCCCATCTACAACAACCCACCGCTAACGAACGCTCCCGTGTGCCCCAGACGTGAGCGACGTGAAATTCGTCATCAACTTCGACTACCCCAACAACTCTGAGGACTACATCCACCGAATCGGCCGTACGGGCCGTAGCAACAACAGCGGCACCGCCTACACGTTCTTCACGCCGGAGAACGCGGCCAAGGCGCGCGATCTGGTCTCTGTGCTGCGAGAGGCCAACCAGGTGGTCAACCCGAAACTGGTCGACCTGCAGAACTCGAGCCGCGCCTACGGCGGCGGACGCAGTGAGTATAGACGCGTTATTTATTGGCGAGGTATTTCAATGGTATTTCGTTTGAGAAAACGGCTTGGCGCATGTTTCCGGCAAGCTGAACCGCGTTGGTGTTTCATAGATCAATCTGAAATGGTAAGGTCTCCGATATCGATTCAGCTGCGGTTCTATTTAGGTTCGTAGTATGTTCGTGGCCCTGAATCGTGTAAAACAGATTCGTCATTCTCACGTCCGCTGAGCTATCTAACAGCCGACGTATTCAGGAATCTGATAACGTTCGCCTGGCCCGACCGCTGGCCTTGTGCTATCACAGTGCGGGGCTGGTACGGGCTGGGCTACAGTCGCTGTTCCCTATCTACTTTCTACTCCTTCCCTTTCTATTTCCCTCCTTCCTCTCTCCCTTCCTCCTCACCTCAGTTTGCCGGTAGGTAACTAACGCCCGCTCTCTCTCCATTTCAGGCCGCTACGGAGGCGGCGGCGGCCGTCGCTCGGGCGGAGGTTTCGGCGGCAGCCGCGGGGGCAGCCGGTGGTGAGCAGTCGCCGCTGACTAGGTCTAGCCATTAAATGTTTAATTTTCACACTCGTCATGTCTCATTTCTGACGCGCCGCGGCGTCTCGCGTTGTGCCGCTCGAGTCGCACGGACGCGCCGCACATTCCCATTAACATCTGGATGGAGATGAACGGCGGGATGGGCCGTGCGGCTGCGCCCCCGCCCTGCTGCGAGAGGCAGGAAGGCGCCCTACGGTCTGTCTCGCCCCTGTATAGCGCCGGTCGCGTCCACCCGTACGGCGCCCTCTGATCTTCAGTGGTGTATTGATGTGATGTGGCTCCAACAGAGCCGACAAGCCGGATTGAACGGCTCTCAGAAAGATGGTCCAAGTTCTGTGTCTGAAGGCGCGACCACCCACCGCCACAGACTAATATAGAGATAGTAGCTGCTGTTCGCCTGTGCACCGACACCAAACGCAGGCCACTCCGTACAAGGAAATGCACGTTTTAAAACGAAACTGACGCGCTGTTTTTTTTTGGGGGGGGGGCGGGTGAAGAAGTTGAACGGGGTTTCCGGATTGGGAGTGGGTGAACTACATTGATAATTATTTGAATTCTAACCGAAAGGTATCTGAAGCATCCATACAATAATATCGGGAAGCATTTTTCTGTGCTTTGGACAATAACGAACCCCACTGACATTTTGTTTATTCGCAAAGTTTGTGTTCATTCTTGCTGCCGTCTTACCCAGCCGAGCTCGCTTGTGCGCTGCCGACTGGCTACGCCGGGGTGCCGATGTGGCTAGGATAACTGCGCCGTTCCATTATCCTCAGCCGGCCGTGCCGAGACCGCAGCCGACCCGTCCCGCTCGCGTCCTGTCCCTCCAAGGTCACCGACCGGCCTATCTAGGTCAGTGTCGGGGACAAACAACTGCGCAGTTACGCCGGATGGAAGATACCAGACCGGCGGACGAGACGGTTCGTCAGTTTCGGCAGATGGCGGCTGGTGCACGCGAACAAATAACAGACCGTGTGCCATTGGGGGATGTGACGATACTCAGCAGTCAGCATGTTAGTGGGTATGGTTCATACTGCAAAACATCAGAACTGATTACTGGAGATAATACCCTGTTGTTGGACCTCTGTTACGTAAAATTTTCCGAACAACCAATGATGGAAACTGATAAAGGCGATATGATGTAAGCGAACGTAAACGAAGTCAACTATTGTCATCAACTGGCAACTTTCTCCAAAAATCGATCTCCGACGTTCAGCCTGTTCTGTTTGAGCCGGAACACTAGCATGACTTGCCGTGGCGTGGAACCAAGGGGCGCTGAGTGCCCTTGAGACTCGGACCTTCAGAGCCGTGCGGCGGTGTGGCAGCTGCCCTTCCGTCCTACCTCAACGTGCGTGCTAGAGGTTATGGTCAAGGCCCTAAATACAGTTATGGTTATCCACGCGTGTCTGAACTCCGATGACGATTTCCGGACTCTCACGACACGCTGCTACCCGGTATTGACGCTCGGTTTCCATGGAAACGTAAGCATAATTGGCAATGATGTCTAAGTTTCGTGAATACCGAGTGCCGCCAAGCCAATACGCGACGGGTTGTAGGGTTCCGTGATACAGCTCTTATAAGCACGGAACCTGGAAAGTGTGAACCCTTGAGCCTAGGAGAAGGCAATGAGAATGCTTATGCGAAGCATCTGGCTGTTTTCCCACCTCGACACAAAGTTGTCAATACCACATTCGGTACGTCTCGAAACATGGGTCATAATAATGTATATTTCGTATATTTGGACAATAGTGTATATTCGACAGACCCCGCACACACGCACACACTATCGTTTCGCAGTTCAGTTGGGTTATGAAAGACGGCCGAACTGCGAACACTCAGTTACACACACGCCAAACGCGGATAGAGGAAACAATGAACACAGGCTGAAGGAGCGCCGAAACAGCTAGAGGCGAGAAACGCGGCCTAGAAGAACGCGGAGTGTTCCCGTGCGCAAAAATGCTGACTGAAATCATTGAGAGGAGACCGAATTGTTCGAATTGTGAAATAATTACGACTTATGGGGCAAAGAAAGAAGCACAGACCAACAACACGTTTTGATACTTGGCATGCAATACATACACAAGGGGTCGTAACATATTGTTAATAAAAGTCAGCGGATACATTGGTTTCGCCCCGGGAAATAGACTGCCTCTTGGGGCGAGTTTGGCGATCTAGCGCCTGTGACAATACACACGATAAATTTAACGCGACATTCAGGTCCCAAGTCAAGTACACACTACATTGAATCACTGTTGGCGACACAATTAAATGTAGGGGAATTCAACCAGCGACAGACCTCCAAGCTAAACAAAGCAATCTTTCACGCTGGTTAATTTCCGTACTGGCGGGTGAATGTGTCCGAAATCTAGCTCACTCTAAAAGAACGTTTCGGGGTCGTTTGGCTCAGCACACAAGTCGTTTTCGGGCAGACCATACGTCTGAACTCTGAACCAAGCAGTGTTCGAAGAGCTCCTACCAACCGATACCTTCACTGCATAGCTAACAGTACGCAGTGGCATATTAATGTACACGAGCATGCATGCATACAGAAAACTCCCTCTACGCTTACGGAAAACAGGCGATAGAGCGAATGATATAGCGCGCAAAGTGCATCATGGATTCGCCCTAAGCCCTTTTATCACTCGCAGATCCGGCAGAAAACCCACGGCTCTGGCGAATAGCAGGATAGCACAGACGGCTCGAAGCAGACAGCGGAAATCCACAGTGGCACTCGCATCAAATGGGAGCCCCGGGGATCTTGAGCTAGCGACTCTAGATCCGCATGACTCTTAGAAGACAAGACATTTCACATAGAACACTCATACCGTGTGTTCGATGGCAATGATTCATTTCCTAGTACATAGAAGAAAATCACAGATACAACATCGCATCATAACATAACTAGAGCAAGACCGATATGGCAACACGGAAAAAATAGTCCCGCATGAATTCAAAACGCATTCTGGATTACTCCAAAAGATTCTGTGAAACGCCGCATAATGAGCACACGATTTGAAAAGAGACGCAGTGCACAGTCATGGTTAAACAAGAGTAATTTACGTAAATGAGGGTAATACTGAGGAAGGATGAAGCAGGATGTAACAGCAGATCCCGATGCTAGTGGGTACAACCGTTTTCTAAGCCGTGACCAATGACAACATGTAGAATGCTGCCACTAACACCGGATCTTCCCTCCTGCTTCTTTTGTGTGTTCTGGCTCATTGTAAGACCTACAGACTATCACGCTTCCAGGGAAAAGACAGACTAATATGGCATTGATAAGCTCACAGGACAGAACAAGAGGTGGAATAAATAACAGACTCAGTTATACGGCTTTGGGCGTCAACTCGGAACTATCCACACACATAAACAAACTCCGCGCAAAGTTATCGGGCCCCGCATGACTCTAGCAGGCTAGGCACACGCTACGAGAGGCCTTATAACCATCATAGCGATTGCGAATACACAAAAGTACACCGCCTAAATATCATAGACTCGATCGGACTGAACACACGGCTCAGGTGGGCTCAGGAAGTCATCCCACCAACATTGGTCCACTCACAGTGACTCGACAAGGGGAGAGCGCTAGTGACGCCCTGTGGGCTACAATCGGGGAAGACCCTTTCTTCATTCTCGGTTCTTTCATCGGAACAACCTCCTCCTCAGAAGCAGACAGATTTACTGTAATGAAGATCACTTCTGAATCCGTTGTGGCACTTCCCTAGGTCTTATATCGCTTCTCTGTCAGACCTATCCAAAACTGTCCGACCAATGATTCCACTCCTGTCCGGCCTAATCCTGTTCGACCAAATCCAATTCCGTCGAACATATCCCACTTCTCATCTGTGCTCCCGTACAACTCATCCCTCCAATATCCCGCCCGACCTCCTAGTCTCAGTCCTCCCTCCCAATCAATCCTCCTCATAATCCTCCACGAGCCCATAGCTCCTGCGCCGGGTCCTCCCGCGCGGTAGGATGGCGTCTGACTCTGCCCCGGCGGTAGCGCCTGCAGAGCCCGTGGCCCTTCGCGCGCCGCCCGGCCACATACTGACCAGCAGGCGACGACCGAACGATGGAGGCGCCGCCGCCTCGCCCGGCTGGCTGAAGTCGAAGTCGGCTATCTCCAGGTTGTAGCTGAAAAAGGAAAAGAGCGGGGAGGGATGAATGAATGTTTGTCGGCGAGTTCATAACTACCAGTATAGCGCCTTTTGGGGCGACTAACGGAGCGAGCGAGGGGGTGAGTCTTGCACGTGCGAAATTTCGAGGGGGTACCTCCAACTGACTTGTGCACGGCACCCTACTGACCGGTTTCTAGCGATGTGCCAAATTTGAGCACAATCGGCCCAGCCGTTCTCGAGATCTGGGAGCGGCACCCTGCACGTGCGCACGTGCAAAATGGGTCCCAACTGACTTGTGCACGGCACGCTACTAACTGGTCCCTAACCGTGTACCAAATTTGAGCGCAATCGGTCGAGCCGTTCTCGAGATCTGGAAACGACCCCTGCACGTGCGCACGTGCAGCAGCACCCCAACTCTGGCACATGGATATGCAGTGCCTAGTGGGTGCCTACCTACATGCCAACTTTCAGCGCAATCGGCCAAGTAGTTACCGAGATATTGCAACAATTACAAAACTGACACCTCTTCGTTTTGCACGTGGCACGTGCATAAGGGGTCACCCAAATGCATCGGGAATAGTCCAATACTTGGTAGAAGGAATGAAGCTACCCTACAAAAATTACCGCATGTAAATCGGTCAAGTGGTTGCTGAGATATAAGCCTCGCAAAAGCGTCCGCACGGCCGGCCGGCCGGCCGGCCGGCCGCTCATACTCAGAAATTTCCGTTAATCTAAGGAAAGACTACGCTCGCTTCGCTCGCTCCGTAATGATTACGGAGCGAGCGAAGCGAGCGGAGTCTTTCCTTAAATCAACGGAAATTTCTGAGTATGAGCGGCCGGCCGGCCGGCCGGCCGTGCGGACGCTTTTGCGAGGCTTATGTATATATCAGCAACCACTTGACCGATTTACACGCGGTAATTTTTGTAGGGTAGCTTCATTCCTTCTACCAAGTATTGGACTATTCCCGATGCATGTGGGTGACCCCTTATGCACGTGCCACGTGCAAAACGAAGAGGTGTCAGTTTTGTAATTGTTGCAATATCTCGGTAACTACTTGGCCAATTGCGCTGAAAGTTGGCATGTAGGTAGGCACCCACTAGGCACTGCATATCCATGTGCCAGAGATGGAGTGCTGCTGCACGTGCGCACGTGAAGGGGTCGTTTCCAGATCTCGAGAACGGCTGGGCCGATTGTGCTCAAATTTGGCACATCGCTAGAGACCGGCTAGTAAGGTGCCGTGCACAAGTCAGTTGGAGGTACATTCTCGAAATTTCGCACGTGCAAGGCCCACCCTCTCGCTCGCTCCGTTAGTCGCCCCAAAAGGCGTTATACTGGTTAAATAATATTTGAATGCCATCTTTTCACACTCAATCTCTGACAGCTTTGTACAGCGTCGCATTTCTGCAAGACGTCGAAAACATAGTTGTTATGATATAGCAAGCCATTCGCTCAAAGTACTTTGCTTCTTTGTAACCAACTCAATACTTCGTAGCTGTTCGTTTGGGGTGTATAATTCTATCAAACATATATAATAGATTGTCCTATCCACTCTTCGTCCTGTCCTGTTCTCGTTGCCTCAAGCCAGCATAACATTTGGACACGAAAGGGCGCGCGACAGAGTCCAATGTACTCACTCTCTGTTTGATTTGATCAGTTTGATTGATCCGAACAGGATGAAGGCGATGGCAGCCAGCGCGCAGCTCAGTGGTATGATGTAGTACGATAGTTGTGGACGGCGAACCGCTGCGGAAAAAAGAGACAGCGGAAACCTGGTCAACATAGACATTAACACAAGCACGCGCAGCTCAGTGGTATGATGTAGTACGATAGTTGTGGACGGCGAACCGCTGAGAAAGAGGATACAGGGTCAATGTAAACAAACACAGTGACACACACAAATATATAAACACGCGCACCTCAGCGGTATGATATAGTACGAGTACGATAGCACTGCGGGCGGACCGCTGCAAACGAGAGAATAACTATAACAAGGTCAGTCGTATGAGCACCATACACGGGACGGACATGGGGACACATACACAGACTCACATGTCACACATGGACACAGACACGCGCACTAAAAGTGACAAACACGCGCCATTGTGGTATAATGTAGCACGAAAGCTGTGGCCGGAGGACCGCTACAAACAGACAACCGACACTTGTCAGCATAAACACGGGTACACAATGACAAAAACACCGATACACCGTGTTTGTGTCATTTGTGTCACCGTTAAAAAGACTGTGTCAACAATCACATACGAACAAATACACGATTCGTCCGGTAAAAATGATATTCATGATTAACCTACGAAAAGACCGCTCACAAAACAGTAAGAAAACGTTCGAGCCTGGATAATCATATGGGACTTGTGGATGTAACATCAACCGGTGGCCGTGCAGCGCATGTTTCAGCCATTTGCAAGATGCATACGGGCAAAAGACAATCAAATACTGAAGATGCGCAATAAATCAATGTCAACTATGCAGTTTAATTATCGTGCCAGACTACAATAGCCAGTATCGTTATGTAAGTCTACAGAACCAGGGAGGGTCAACGCACTGGTGACTATGTAATGCATTGTCCAGTGACCGATCTTGGTAAATGGGCAGTCAAAAAAAAAAAAAAAAAATACACGAAACAAAAACAAAACAAAACTCAGTGACCACTAATGGGTTAGATGTCTATTACATACAAGGACAACTTCACAGTCATTATCGCTCGAGCCTCCAATATATCAAATCATGTCTCACTCATGTCACTCATGTATCATGTCTCGTCACACATAAATCAGTCATGTCTCATCATGTCACTAATTCTGCCCTCTATTTACCTGTGTAGACAGTAATGGCCACGGGCGTGACACGCCGGCTGACGGCGTTACTCAGCACGCTGACCGCCGTGTAGGTACCGTTATCCCGCAGGTAGCGCAGAATCGGTACCGTGCAGTCGTCGGTCGGAATCGGGTTCGAACACGTCTCGTTACCTGACGGTAGAGTCACAGAAACGTTAACCCGCGCCGGGCCGGTGCTCTGAGATTCCGCGCCGGGCCGGGGGTGTCTGAACACCCCTCCCCCCTTTCTAACTCGGCTCCTGGGCCACGTAGCGACACGCGGTAAGCGGCAATCGAAAGAACGTCCAAAATAAGGACGAAAACACTTCGGTAATTTTTTGGGTCAGGTCAAAGGTCAGGTCACCAGAGGTCACCAAAGGTAAAATGTTGGCTATTTCAACATTTTGGAAACTGCCAACGGCTATCTCGGGAACCGATAGAGCCACAGCGCCGCAGAAAAGCGCATTCGATAGCCCTTTTACAGACCTTTCTGAGTAATGTTCTCAGATTTGACGGTTTTGTCTCCAGAGGGCAAAAACTCCAAAAATAGCCGTTTTTACGAAAGACGTTTTTTCGGCAATAACTTTTGACTCAAAAGAGCCATGACATTACTTTTGCCACCATCGTGTTCCTCTCGTCGAGACGCGTCGAATGAACTATAATTTGACCTTGAAAGGTCAACTTGAAAATTTGACCTCAGGTCAAGGTCATGACCTGACCGGAAAAGGTCATGTTGCATATCCGTCGATCCGCAACGTCGAGCCGAACACATCTAAGGCGTTTTTAGCGCTCTAGCACGTCTCAATCAGAAGTTATTAGCGAAAAACTGTTAGATTCTGTTCGTGACCTGAGATGACCTCGGGGACATAACGAGGGGTCACAGTTGCCATTTTCCGGTTCAGTGTGTCCATTTTACCTACATCTCGATGTTTGAGAGTGTCTAGGGCCCTGATCGGCGGCCGGCTAGTACTCTTGCCCGCGCTCACATACGTGCACGTTACCCCGGCAACGGGCTATTGACCAATGAGAAGCGAGAAAAGTGTTACGTCACTGCGATTTTTCATATACCTGTGCCCCCCGGACGTGACGTAGTGTGCTCGCGCGCGTGCAGGGTCTCTGCGATCGAAAAAGAGCGCTAGCAGCGCGCCACTCGACGCCGCAATTGTCAAAAGCGGCGTGTTAGTATGCTTTATTATGAATGATGTGTGTAAAAGTGAGTTTTTATGTTGTTTATTTTGAGGAAATGGTTTGAATAAATTAAGTTATTTTTATTTCTGTTGGTTGGAGTTTTTATTCAAAAGATTTCGGTCTATACCATTGATATTTACTAAAAATACCTTCGCTTGAATAAATTGCAGATATTTGGCAACTGAAGTGTTAGGTAAGCCTAAATGATATGTAAAAAGGTAAGAGACACCCTGATTATCTTTTGTGAAACGAAAAAATATGAATTTTCCTTATAAGACTCGCTCAATATGCTACTCCGCGGTTTATGCCCCGAGGGTGTCCGAGAGTTCCCGTTAGTTTGTCGTTGGCGCTCGGCTCGCGCGCGAGCCGACGTCACCGCCTGTGACGTCGGCTCGCAAAATACGTCATACCCTGCACACAAAATAGCCGGCTGCCGAACAGCGCTTAGAATAGCGTTCGTGCAAAACAGACGCTTTTCAATTTTCTCCCATTGACTTATGGGGCATTCCACGATAGATCGTACCAGGCCCGTCACCCTCATCTCTCAGATTTGAATGAAAATTGGTACAAGGGGTAATCATAGGCTCCAAAAACACCTGCCAAAATATAAGACTTCTCAGATGAAAACTTTTTGAGTTATATTGCATAATATTTTCTTAACATCAGATTGTAAGGGTGAGTTTGATGAGCTATAACTCAAAAACGAGCTAAGCAAGCAACAAACGGTAAACAGCTTTTAACTATAACGATGAATCAAAGATAAACACAGTATTTTTAAAATTGGAAAGAAAGCCTTAACATATTGAAAAAAGTCGTAGTATTTTTTTAAATTGTCTATAATGGACCTTGGGACCAAATTTTTTGCCATTTTTATTTCTTCAAAATAAACCTCAGGTCCTTTAAAATCGACATGCAAAAAATTAGAAAGGTGTTCTTTCTATAAGTTCCTCAATTAAATGTATACAAAATGGGTTTCCGGGGAGTCGGTACGACCCCAGCTCGCCGTTTCGCCTCTAATGGAGCTAGAACCTTGCGGAAAAAACGAGCATGTGCGCCGTTACAAGATCCATCGAATAATACCACATTTTATGGTCTCGGGTTCATTGGTGACCCCTGAGGTCATTTCAAGTGACCCAAATTACGGGTCCGGTTTTTATAGATAACTTCGCAACAAATGGTCGCAGAGCCGCGATTTTAGCATCTTTGTGTTTGCCTAGCTCCGGCGCGTCGAATGGTATACTGTTTGTTCTGGTGAAGTCAGCTTAAGTCGCTGACCTCGGGTCAGCACACTGCCGTGTATTTGGCTCCGCTCCCCGACCGGGCGGCCCAGCCGGCAGCCAGCCCCCGGGCATCACGTGACCGCCCGAGTCCGCGGCAAAGCCAACCAGCGCGGCGCGGCGCTGGACAAACAGCGCCGTCACAGAGATGGTTAACAGTCGAGTCAGGCCACGAAGCTGAGTGAATGAGAGCATATTGCACATCATTCGATTCGCAAGGTCTTCCCGAGTCCATTGGTAGCTTTCCCGTTTCTCTAGCTCAGTTTGATCGGAGTTATTGACGAAAAACTCTTATGACCCTAGTGACGTACGAATGACGTCACGCAAGATCAACAATGCAAAAGTGAGGCAAAAATGACTTCAACTGAACTCTCAGTAACCAGTGATGTCACTAGGCAGCTTTACCACACCATTTGTAGGCTCTCTTCCGAAATCACAATTCGAGACCATTACGGTGACGCAAAATAAGTACATTTATAGAAAGAACACCTTCCTAATTTTTTGCATACTACTTAAAAATGATCCAAAAATGTTTTTAAGTAAATAAAATTCGAAAAAGTTTGGTCCCAAAGGCATAAAAATGCAAATGAAAGGAAACTCAAGGTGTTATATATCAAAAATAGTATATATTTCAAAATTTTAAAAATGCATATTATTCTTTGTTTCAATGCAAGTTCAATGCCGTATAGCATTTGGCATTTGGATTATCCGTCTTAGAGTTACAGCCCGCCAAACTTGGGGCTGCAACGCAAGATCCAAAACATGTTATACACTATAACTCAAAAACCACTCATCTGATAAGCCTGGAATTGTTACAGGAGGATTCAGAGCCCCTGATTACCCCTTAGACCAATTATCGCTAAAATCCGAGAGATGAGGGTGTCAAATTGGAAAAAAGTGGTACGATCTATCGTGGAATGCCCCTTATATTAATGGAGAGGTCGCAAAATTGACCTGACCTTATGTCACCGATATCAAAATTCCGAGATATACATTTTATAGATAATTTTGTTCTAATCAATCGCTGAAAGTTTCAAGGCAATCGATCAATCGGTGTAGCTATGACGAGCATTCTTACTTTTTCTGAGGTGAGGTCCAAGTCGTGACCTGGTGACCTGACCTAAGGTGACCTGGGTCTCAAATTTTCACAACATATGCGGAAAAGATGCACGAACAGGTGTGCCAAAAACGGCGGAGCGTTTTTGAGATATCTGCGAAAAACCGCAGGGGGGGGGTGTTCAAACACCCCCCCCCCCCGGCGCGGCGCGGGTTAAGAACCTAACGGCATTCAGAAGAGAATGGCTTTATTAGAGTAAAACAGTGAACAGAACGATGTCAGAACAGGCCAGTGGAGAAAAACGACGCACAAAAAAGCGCCGAGCAGTAACATATTTAATACAGCTAGAACGGTGTCTGAGGCAGCGAAACAGAAAAGTTAGCGTAACAGAGTGATGTCAGCGAGACCAAATTCCGACTACATACTAACATCCATTATAACAACACATCACCACACGAATTCCGAAGAAGGTTATGAACAAAACAGTTACTATATGGTAACGCCTACCAAATAAACACTAAAGTGCCAAGTCGGCCAAAAAGCGAGAGATGGGTTCGAATCGGATCTCTTATTAATGTTCACAACATCTCATGTGTCAAGCATAGACCTCTGTCTGGTCTTTGTGCCAAGAAATCGGAACTGGTTTGACAAGACATTCGATCGCTGTTATCACTAATAGACGAGCTGCAGACCCCTTATGTTATGACGTCGCAGACTACACAGACCCACCTGTGACGTTATATCTGCCGGTGTAGACTTCCATGCAGTACTCCCAAGGCCCAGTGTGTTAGACCCCTTTGTTACGTCACACCGACCCACCTGTGACGTTGTATCTGCCGGTGTAGAGAGCCACGCAGTACAGACAACTCCCAAGGCCCTGTACCGTTACAGCTGGCCCCCTTATGACGTCAGAAACCCACCTGTGACGTTGTATCGGCCGGTGTAGACAGCCACGCAGTACTCCCAAGGCCCTGTACCGTTACAATGAACGGTCAGGTTCAGAAGTTCGCCGTGTTTCAGCCAGTTGTTACCGGAGACATTCACCAAAGTGATGGGCGCTGGAACACGTGACCAAAGGTCAGAGGTCGGACGGTGAATCACGTGACAAAGGGAAATTGTATGTTGGTGTTTTGACAGCAAATACGTAACCACAGAAATCAAGTTTTCCGTAAAACACGATATATTCTGTGAGACACGTGCCAAGAACCCCTCTTACAAATTGAGAACAAAACATTATTCAACCAGAATATATTATCAAAGAAACACAATGCTCCCCTGACTCCCCCTCCCTAACGTACCATCCACATTGAATGTGAGCTCAAAGAGCCCCCATTTAGTGGTGGCGTCCCCGGCGCGGGCCTGCTCTGTGCTGAGGTTGAAGTGCGCCACTGCGATACAGCGCACAAAGTTCTCACCGACCCGCGTCATGTTGTACCTGAGGGATAGCACATCAGGATTATAATACACATAAAAAGATCAAATACAATGACTCATGTTTCAGATCCGGCTCTTATTCACAAAAAAAGAACCGAGGTAAAAAGAATCATGAAACCAAGAAAATTTAAAAAAGGATATTACGGGATATACAGCATTAACCTTCAAAAATGTGTCAACACTATAGATCAATTGTGACGTTGTGGCTTCGTAAGATATATCGCAGATATTATTCAGACTGGTCAGACGCAGCTACCGCACCCCATCGCACACTCTTGGTACATTGTCCCGCTGCGTGTGCGCTCCCTCCCAGCACACTCATATTCTCTCAAACCGCGCGTATCTCCCTCCGATTCCGACAGTCCTCCTTCTCATCTCACCACCTTCCCTCCCAACACCCCATTCCATCCCTTCCTCCCATCCTACCACGTTCCCTTTTTCCTATAGCGTTAAATTTTAAAAATCATTCCCATCCTTCCAACTCCCTCCCCGCTCCACAAATCCCAGCCATCCTCCCTCTCCCTTTCCCTCATCCTCTCCCTAACTCACCCCAGCGTGGGGTCGGCGAACGGTCCCAGGTTGATCTTATCGTTGACGCTCCAGAAGTACTCCACCTTGGTGGCTGACTCAATGAAATGGTGAGGGTCGTGGAAATTGACACTGAGCAGAGTTTCGTTCATCATGCTGACGTGGCCGGGCTCGCGCGGAGTGACACCCGGCTGGGAGAGCTCGATGCCGCCGTTCAGGTATACTGGGGGCACGGGTAGATAGCAGGTACAATACACTGCCGGTGAAGTATAGGTAGAGGTACTGGAAGAAGTACAATGCAGGTAGAGCGCTTGCTGTTAGGGCTAAGCCGTGGCGAGGAACGAGGCATACGCCGTGTGTCTATCGCTCCTATACGCTTGGTAGCAATAAAACACTAAAATTGTGTACATCTGCACCGCAATATATAAGAGTATGGGTAACGTTCATCCCCGATACCACTTGACATCCCTCCAGCATCGGACACGTCTCGATGAATTATGACACAAATGCTTCAACTGGCTAAACACGTCTAGCCGTCGCGACAAAGAAGACGTCAAAGCTTTACAAACGCTGTTATTAAGGCCGGCTCTCACCTATGATGCTATGAAGGCGACTCCCCTGCGTGGTTCTCACCTGTAATACTGTACAGCGTCGACTCCTCCTTGTCTTACCTGCGATACTGTACAGCGTCGACTGCGCCATCTCTTACCTGTAATACTGTACAGCGTCGACTCCTTCTTCTCTCACCTGTGATACTGTACAGCGTCGACTCCTCCTTCTCTTACCTGTGATACTGTACAGCGTCGACTCCTCTCCGATGACCCGATCGGGCAGGATGAGTCGCGGCTCCTTCACTCTCACAGTCATTGTGTAGTAGCCGCCGAACCTGTCGTTGCCGTCGAACCGCAGCATCATCGTGGCAGTCAGAGACGATGTCGGATCCGACTGTGGGCAGAGGGGGAGGGGACGTGGGTAGAGGGGTGGAGTTGTCGTTTTCGGTCCTGGTTCCGGAGAATTAAAATCTGCCCGGAGAACCCGTCAGTTTGTATCTAAAACCAACAGCAAAACCATGTGCTTTGCCTACTAGATGTGATAATGATAACATGTGCTATTACTATACCCACATTTTGGTGAAATAATAGCAGTTTTTCATCATAAAGGCTGGCAGCTTTAGAAGATTCCATGTGCCGAAGTATACATTTGTAAAGGAGAACGAAATCTTTTGGCCCCTACTGGGACCAGAAAAGGGTCTTATTTCCGACATTGGCGCCGTAGGTAGAGGGGTGTGGTCGGGTCAGGGGTTCAGAGACCCGGCTGGGTCGGCTGGGGAGGGTTTAGGGGTCATCGGGTCGAATCATGGGATCTGTCTTCAACAGAGCGTGCTGAATGAGCTTATGGGAGCGTGGGTTGGTTGAATGGTATGGAATCAGTTCGGATGGAAGGTTACCCAATTCACGAAAAAATGTGACATGTTTTAGCGATGTGCACGGGGTCGATGGAAGTCTTTCATGTGGAGACGTATCCCGCTGCATGGATATCGCATACAGATATAACACCTTGTAAGTGACTACAGTTTGTGAATAGTGTTGCGAGCTCAGCAACGTAATGTAAATGTAAATGTCTTTGATGTAATGAATATCACTTCAGGAACGATAACGACCTCTGCTGACCTAAATATCGACGTGCTATGACGCATGCACTGCCATATGGTCGAAACTCGAAAGGTCACCGGGGCTTTGCTGCTGCAGAAGGGTACACTGCAGGTTGTAGAGTGGTTGCAACCGCCTACCCCCCCCCCCCCCCCCATTCTAAGAGGCGGACAGTTGCCGACCTGAGCGCAAGCATCCACCACAGTCCCCTTCCCTTCGCCCCCTCCCCCTTAGTAGACAGTTGCTGACCGAAACACAAGCGTCTGCCATGACAACCCTCCGCAGATTCCCTCCCCCCAGTTTATAGTTGCTAGCCGGAGCACAACCCTCCCCTCCCCACAGTAGGTAGGCGTTGCTAGCCGGGGCGCACCCCTTACCCCTCCTGCTCAGTTGACATGTACCAGCTGGCAGTGACTTCACTGCAGACTGGCTGGAGCCGCAGCACTGTGTTTATACTTTTTTTAACATGAGCCGTTAACGAGTACACAAATACAACATGAACTTTTCAGCAGAACAGCTGGGTTGCAACATTAGGGAACACTGGACGTACTTTCAGTACATTGTTCGGCCAAGTCAGCGGACAGCGACAATATTCAGCATTACCAACGCAATAACAGACGTCGACGTGATCTAATCTTGTTCTCACGTATCGTCGTTTATTACCGGAGCTGTAACCAAAAACGACAATATACATTTACAATCGTTGCTCCAGTGACTGTCCTATCTGCAAGGCGTTGTCTCTGGCCCTAACCTGCTGTAGTGTTCCCTACCTTATTGTAGTGTCTCGGCGATGCGTTGTCGGACCACTCGTAGACCAGCTCGTCGGGCCGGTCGTCGTCAGGATCCAGCAGCACCGTGGCCGTGAACATGATGGGCGCGCCCACCACCGCCGGACCGTCGTTGGTCAGGTCCACGCGCGCCGCCGCCGCTGCAGCATCGGTCAGCGGAGGGGCGGCGGTCAGAATAGAATACACACTACAGAGAAAATGTTCAGCAGCCACGGAACAGAGAGCTATCACTCAGAATAGACACAGAACAGAGAGCAATATAATTGGTCAGAATAGACCCAGACAGAACGACATTGGTCAGAATAGACTCAGAACAGAGAGCCATTGGTCAGTGTCAGAGAAGCAAGAGACAGACACAGAACAAATGACACTGATCAACATCAGACAGGGCTCATCTTCTATTTCTCATTCTCTTCCTGATTCATATACCTCTCTTTTCAGTCTTTTCCCCACTCTCTTTCCATCTTCCATATCTCATCATCTATCTCAATCCTCAATATCTATGTCTCTATTCTGATTCCGCTATCTCTCTCCTCCCCCTCTCTCTCTTTCTCTCTCCCTCTCACTCCCTATCACCCTCTTTCTCTCTTTCTATCCCTTCCTTTCCTCTCTTCCCCTGTCTCTCTTCCTCTCTTTTGCTCCTTTCCTCCACCTTTTCACCTCTTCCTCCCTTTGCACCTTCTGTTTTTTAGAGCACACATAAGTGTGTCAGCAAGCATGTCAATACAATACACATACAAGTAAGTATGCAGCCAGACAACAACATATTGGTGTGCATTCTTACCAATGGCAGGAATGATGAGGATGTAAACCAGTCCCATCAGCATCTTGTCAGCAGGAGAGTGGTTGTGTTGGTGCTTCCAGTTAGAGCATCTTTATTCTCAAATAACAAAATCAGAGTCAGACTAGGGAAACACCCTGGAATGTAAAATATGGAGATAATAATAATTATACACATGCGAGCATCAAAACATGACATTATCACATTCATAGAACATAGTGTAATGGTTGAGCACTAAAAGGCAGGGCTCTAACATTTTTCATTGCTGCTTTACAGGCTTGTACACATTTTTCATTGCTGCTTTGCAGGCTTGTACATTGAAGACAATGACAAAGGATATTCATAGCAGCCATAAAACAGCAGAAATGGAAAAAAGGAAAAAGAAATGGATGACAAAAAGTGTAATGAAAGACATTCTTGACAAGGAAGAAGCCTGGAAAAGATACAGAAAGAAGAATAACCCAAAATGGTTTAGAATATACAAAGAAAAAAGAAATAATGCAACCAAGAGTGTACGAGAGGCGAAATACCAGTACGAGCTGGAATTGTCCAGAGAGGTAAAACTGAATCCAAAGGCTTTCTACGCATATGCTCGAAATAAAACAACCATAAAGGAACAAGTCACCACAGTCAAGGATGACCAAGGGTTTCTTTCAAACACACCTGAAGAGACCTGTGAAATAATGAATCAAAGTTTTGAGAAGGTTTTTGTCAAGACTGACAATGTGCCTCCAGACTTACCAGCTTTCAATGGGGATAAACTCTCATCCATGATCCATCAGCATCACCAAAGCTGAGGTGCAAAAGCTACTCTCCGAACTCAAACCATCTGCACCTGGCCCTGACAGAATCCACCCAGTTTTACTCAAGAATTGTGCAACCAATGTCAGCAAGCCTCTGACAATGATTTTCCAGGAATCACTGAGTACAGGAAGCATCCCAAGTGACTGGAAAAAGGCAAATGTAACTCCGATATATAAGAAGGGCTGCCGTTCGGATCCACTCAACTACAGACCGATCAGCCTTACATCAGTAGTTTGCAAGGTTTTGGAGAGACTTGTGAAAGGCCACCTGGTTTCCCACTTGGAAAGTTTCAATTTCTTCTGTAAGGAGCAACATGGATTTCGGTCTGGCAAATCATGCACAACCCAGCTTCTGGAGTACTTGTATGAGGTTCAAAATGCTCTTGATGAAGGTGACGCAGTAGATGCCATCTACCTAGACTGCTGTAAAGCTTTTGACACAGTTCCACATAATCACCTGATAACGAAACTCAAGGCTGCAGGAATCGATGGCCCACTACTTCTCTGGATAAAGTCATTCTTAACAGACCGAGAGCAGAGAGTGACCATAAGAGGAAGTTTCTCAAGCTGGAGAAAAGTCTGGAGTGGTGTTCCACAGGGCAGCGTATTGGGGCCAATCCTCTTCCTTGTCTACATTAATGACCTGCTTGATGAAGTTCACTCAGAGGGCAAGCTCTTCGCAGATGATGCCAAGATTTACAGGCGTATGAGAGGCAATGAGGATCAGCAGCAACTCCAAGCAGACCTGGATAAACTACAAGAGTGGAGCAACAGGTGGTTACTCAAGTTCAATCAGGAGAAATGCAAGGTCATGAACTTCGGTAGCAGAAATCCCAACTGCAGCTACAGCATGGGAGGAGTTCAACTGGCTCACTCTGAACAAGAAAAGGACCTTGGAGTTCTGATTTCAACAGATCTCAAGCCCTCAGCACAAGTTGCCAAAGCTGCGTCCTCAGCAAACTCCATGTTGGGCCGTATAAGGAGCACTTTCACATGCCTCAATGACAAGATCCTTCCACCACTATACAAGGCGCTGGTTCGACCCAGGATGGAGTTTGCGATCCAGACATGGTCACCCTATCTCAAAAAAGACATTCAAAAGCTCGAAAAGGTGCAGAGGAGAGCGACAAAGCTGGTTCCCTCACTTAGAAATTTACCATATGAAGACCGACTTAGTGCTCTTGGGCTGACAACGTTAGAGCAGCGAAGAACGCGCGGAGATATGCTTCAAACTTTCAAGATCCTGAAAGGTCTGGACAGAGTTGAGGTTGACAGCACATTCCTCAAGCTGGATGACAGGTACCTGGGAACTAGAGGACACCAGATGAAGCTCGTCAAACCAAGACATCGAACACTAAAGCGCAACAAGTTCTTTTCAGCAAGAGTGGTCGACATGTGGAACGGTTTACCAGAACATGTGGTATCCAGCGACAACATCAACCAGTTCAAGAGAAGATATGACCAACATGTCGCAGAACAAATGACGAGAGGGGGTAGCCACTACAAGCATCCTTAGTTTGCTCCCTTACCCCCGTATCCTATCTCTTCGGTAAGCATCTCTTCGGTAAGCAGATCGGCCAAACTAGATATCAGGGTTGGGGTGACTTTCGCCAAATCTGAGACCATATTCCTGTTTTGATCAAGCGTTTTCAGTAAAAAAGCAGAAGACAGCATCTGCTCTTAGTTCTGCATGCTATTTAGAAGGTAGTTCGGTACCTTTGCAATGTAAGGCCTGTGTGCATGCAAACCACAATGGATTGTTTCAGGCAAGCTAAAAAATAAATGCACCCGATACATATTTCCGGTGTGGACTTTACTTTCAAAATATGTAGGTACTTAAAGCGACATCGAGAGTAGGAGCTGGAGGATGTGGGAGAAGATATTCAAAGACAGAGTCGGACTCGGAGTCAGAGTCACCAAAAAGTCCATGGAATGCTGATGCTGATTGCTGATGCGCGGCCCTGAGAGGTTTGGTATCAACTTGACATGTCTAATCATGATACTAAAGCAAAGTAATTGTAAGCCTTGTTAGCTTAGTAAGTGTTAAGCTCCACTGCCGATAATATTAACAAATTAAGCACCGCCTGCACCCAGCCCCAGCACCCTACACAAACGGCGAAACACAATCGTTGAAAAAAATGTGAACGGGGCGAAATTTGTGTGCGCATATTTGCACACAGCTGCGCCATATTCGATCATCTGGTAGCACCTTACGAGGGGATAAACGTTATCATGCTAAGTGTGCACTTAACTTTAAAATATTTTTATTTAAAAAGTTTTTGTTTTGTGAAAGCTAAATGGATTTCTTTGAGGTTGAATTATTATAATAAAGAGAAAACAAAAAGTAGAGCGAATTGGGAAAATCATAGTTTAAAAGAATGTTTATTTTCAAATGGTTTTCCTTTTGGAACAAAAATTATTTATTTTATTGCTACCATATTCTTTCTAACATGCAAATTTTACCCTGTGTGAGCTAACCTTTATTATTTGTGAGATATTTTGTGACGAGATAATTTAATATTTATTATTCATATTATTTGGATAACGCCCGCTTCATTAGTTTTTTGGGGTGCATCACCAAAGTAAGATTGCTTACTCTGCTTCAAGTTTCTTTTTATCACTACAACAGAGCACCTTAATTTGCAGGCTTTATTATTTGTGTATCACGAAAGATGTTCAGTTCAATGATTTGGATTTCATTAATTTCTCAGTTTGAGCTGTCTTGGAGTTATCTGAAGACCTTCAGCCCTGCGTTCGACATCTGGAAAATGAGGGATAATTATCCGGGATCACCAGTATTTGTTGTTTACATTTATTGCGGCTTTAGGGCATGCCGACTGCGAAGGTCATTTTGCGCCCATAGCGGGACCACCAGTAATAATTTGGTATTGCAGGGACCCATAATGCAAAGGTGGCTTGCATGTTGATGAGGCGCACCAGCCCAAGTTCAAAATCTGCACCAACCCTTCAAACAGAGCAGGAAAATCGGCACCAAAGCAGGCTGGGTAAAAAGAAAAATTGCACTGAACCCAAAAATGACCGACTGCCGCACACTCATTTAGACCCGAGAGCACACTGCTGACTGCACAACGTCAAAGCTCCAGCAACGTTTTTCAATTTTCCTCATATCTCGCCTGGTCCGTTATGTCCATCACTGAGCCAAACCCGCATTGCGCTTCACTAAATCCGCACCACACCAAGCCAAATCGGCACCGCACCCAGCCTAATCCGCACCAGCTGAACAAGCCAGCACCAACGAGAACTCATTGAAATTGCCATGCTTTGCAGACTGGTCTTATTGTCTTACGCCAAGTCTTATTGACATCAATTAGCCATCATCACCAAGTGTACAGCGATTTAGATACTTCCAAGCCCCAAAATTACTTAAAAATTGTAATCATAGTTTTCGCCCTCCATCTGCAGGAACGGGATGTTGAGATTCCAAAGCATGGCAATCTCAGTAAGAAGTCATCAGTTCAGGGGCATTTAGAATGATTTCAGCCTGTGTTGGTGTTTGGAGTGGTGTGGACCAACTGGTATTCTCACCTGGTATAACCTACGCTTTGGATTTCGCTTGCAGTTTTGGGCCAGACCTGAAATCTTTGTCAATTCTGCTGCCTTGCTTTGCCATATTGTTGAATGTATGGCCTTTTGCCATAGCTACTTTATCAGGGGCAGATCCAGGAAAACTCCAAGGGAAGGTCATGAATCGAAGTGGTGCCCCTACCTATACCTAAATTTAAAAACTCAACAGATTTGGGCCACTTAATTTTGGTGGTGTCCTGTTTTCAGTTTTTTTTTTTTTTTTGGCCATTGTGCCCTGGCAGGACTGTGGTACCCCTGCAGCTAGGCCGCAGGCGTCCCTGATAGGTTTGTGGTGCCCCTGGAAGGACTGTGGTGCCCCTGACAAGCCTGAAGTGCTAACGACAGGCCCGTGGTGCCCCTGACAGACCCATGGTGCTCCTGCAAGGCTGGTGGTGCCCCTGGCAGGCCGGTGAAGTAACTGAAACACATGCCATGAACAATGGGAATATTATGAACTGAGTTACATTTCAATTGAATTTGAACTGAGTTACAATGAATTACCCATGGTACATTTTATGAACTGAGTTAGGGTATATTATTTCACCATCAAAGACTTTATAATGTATAAGTGAATATGCATGGACACGAGTGTAATTCTCTTTTCGCAGAAGGGTGTCTAAGAAGCATCAAACCATGTCGGACCAAAGAGGACAAGAATGGATCAAGCTGAACGTTGGAGGGACCCAGTTCATGACGACTCGCACGACTTTGTGTCAGGACGAGAAGTCGTTTCTCTACCGACTCTGCCAGAGCAACATGGAGCTGACAACTGCTAAGGCGAGTACACTCTATTGGTGATCATTGTTATCTTTTCTGAAGGCATTTATGCATATCTTTGCTCTTAAAGCCTTTTCAGTAAGATGCAACTCATTGTAGTGGCAACTCATTGTCATAACGGTCCCAGTGGCCTGGGACCGTTGTGAAGGATAGATAAAACTGGTTTCACAAGTTAGAGCCTTAATAGCTGGATCGGAAATTATCGATTATCCACACGGTGTAATTTAGGGTCTAAAATTGATCGTCCCGTCCAAATGTTTATTTTGGCCTGTACGGTAACCATTGTCATGAATATCCTTAGGCTGATCGCTCCATCGGGAGTAAATCGTGAGGTCGAAGAAACATGGAAACTTAGTCGTCAAACTGTCTAGCACATTGCAGTTGTCAGAATGCACTGTCGGCCCCCGGACATTGTTTGATGTTTGGTTAGAAGCAGATAGACTCCTATGAGAAACCCTCGCTAAACATTGACCTGACCTGCCCTGGCCCTTTCGCTAGGACGAGCACGGGGCCTACCTGATCGACCGAGACCCGCAGTACTTTGGGCCCGTGCTCAACTATCTGCGCCACGGTAAGCTGGTGCTGGATAAGAACATGGCTGAGGAGGGTGTACTGGAGGAAGCAGAGTTCTACAACATCACCGGGCTCATCCACCTAGTCAAGGACCGCATCACAAGGAGGTGAGGATGCTGTAGACGATGTAGCTCTGCTAGCTGACCGCCGGTGGAAAGTGCTCTGTGTGTATACGGGCTGGGTCTTTTAGTGACGATGTCGAAATCCACTGCGGGCGGAACTGTAGAATGAATGCCATTATTGCCCCATCATTTGATCGAAGTGACGAATTATTCCATGGCTCAGCCCGGTCACAAGCCGGCGACACTTTTTTCCAGCTTCTTTCCTTTCTAATGGTTAGAATATATCACGAATTAGAAGCTGCTGTTGACGCGCCCTAAAACTACGAGAAAGTTGTCGCTAGAGGGTCATTCCACTAATCGAACTGTCAACTTGTAAGTCGTGCATAACGTAATGCTTGGTAAGTCTGTATAACAACTTACTCGAATATAGCTCAGCTATTCTCATGTGGTACTGGGCGTATATCACTGCCCCTTCTCTCTGGCTTTTAGAACGTTATCTCACCCCATCCTTCTCCCTTCCCGCGTGACCTGCAGAGACTCCGGTGTCAGCGGTTCACGGAAACACGTATACCGAGTGATGCAGTTCCATGAGGATGAGCTAACATCGCTAATGTCATCGATGAGCGACGGATGGAAATTTGAACAGGTGAGAGCGGCGAGTGGGGAGGAATGTTTGATGAGAGGATGATTAGAGGAAAGGACACTAGTCAGAGGATGGTTTAGTGTGGGAGGACGTTGATCAGGGGATGGTTTAGTGCGGGAGAACAATGGTCAGGGGATTATTAAGTGAGGGAGCACTGATCACGGGATGGTTTAGTGCGGGAGGACACTGATCAGGGGATGGTTAGTGAGACAGAACACTGGTCAGGGGATGGTTTTTTGAGAGAGGACGTTGATCAGGGGATGGTTTAGTGAGGGAGGTTGCTGATCAGGGGATGGTTTAGTGATAGAGGACGTTGATCAGGGGATGGTTTAGTGAGGGAGGACGTTGATCAGGGGATGGTTTAGTGAGGGAGGACGCTGATCAGGGGATGGTTTAATGAGGGAGGACACTGGTCAGGGGATGGTTTAGTGAGGGAGGACACTGGTCAGGGGAATATGGTTTAGTGAGGAAGGGCACTGGTCAGGGGATGGTTTAGTGAGGGAGGACACTGGTCAGGGGATGGTTTAGTGAGGGAGGACACTGGTCGTGCTCAAGGGCCAGCTTAATGTGGAGGATGGTGTTATAGGCTGAGGACGTAAGCCCGGCAGGACAGACTTGTGAAAGGATGGGTTAGCCAGAATGAGCGACTGGTGCTAACAAGTGATTCTTCTCTAGAGATTCATGCAAATGTGGATTTTTATATTGCGAATTATTATTCAACTCTCGTTGACTGCAGGTGGGAGTGGCTGCTGTTAGGGACTCACAATGTAAGTACCTTAAACTGGCACCATCCACTGACCTTTCTGTTCTGTCCGTGAAAGCCGCGGGCTCGGGGAAGAGGTTCCTCTCCCTACCTCTAACCTCGAACTCCCCGATTTACCGTGTTGCAGCTGATCAACGTGGGCAGCCAGTACAACTACGGTAACAACGACCAGTCCGAGTTTCTGTGCGTGGTCTCACGCGAGTGCGCCACCTGCGACAACCACAGCAACGGCCACGAGCCCTCAGACAAGGCCAAGGTAGCGACGCGGGTTCGATCCCCACCGGGGGAGGTTTCGAGGGTTTTAGGATTCTTGATAGCGACTTTTCTTTCTTGTTAACTATTTTTAAGTTTTAGATTTACATAAGTTACATTGGTCATTGGATAACTTACACGCGTCCTCGATGAATGTTAGAAAATGCAGTTTGGGGTGATTTTGCCGGTAGTACTACTTTCGTGCAAAGACGCTCTCGCAGGTAGTAATCGTTTGCGTTTGTGATTTCCCTGATTAGTTCGCTCTAAAAAAAATCGTGAACTTAGAGTGACAGCGGATTATTGATTGAAACTTGAATCTATTGGCCTTTTGAATATTACTACACCCTTCGATGTTCGATATTCTGGCGATATTTAGCTGCAGTTTTGTGTTTAGTTTAGGGTCGCCTCCACAGCCCCTCCCCCAGGTCATAACGCACCCTCCCTGTCCGCCGCCTGACTTTACCTTTTCCCCGCAGATGCTGCTTCAGAAGGCCAGTCGAATGTGATTGGTCAGGTGCCTTATGACGTCACAAGTTCGGTCGCATGACGTCACAAACACCTGGGACCGAGCCGCCCGGCCGGCGCCACGGCTTTGGTGTGACGTCACTCAATAACACAGGACCACGCTGTGAGGTATGACGTCACCAATAACATAGAGCCACGCGTTGAAGTATGACGTCACCAATAACGCTGCAACACGGTGTAAGTTATGACGTCACACTCTTCGGACCACACCGTGTAGCGTGGCACCGCGACGAACTATTTCAAAGACGTGGCGCGCATTTTCGAGGCTTCCAAGGGGGCGGACATTTTGTTCCGAGCTTACTGTGCGCCGTCGGACGCTAGTTTGTACGATTTTGTACTGTTTTTGATGTATTGTGCCGCGCCGGCTGGCCGTGACGGCCTTTTCAGTGTTATAAGACAGACCTTTGTGGTGGTGTAACGGGTCCCGGTGCCTGAAGACGGACTTGCGGGGCCACGCGGGGTGGGGGGACACCTCACCGCCCTCCGCGCCGTGCCTGCTGCGGGCGGACAGCGGCGTGGTGCACGTGTTTTCACGTGGTTCGGTACGTGGCGGCGCCGCGTAGTCAGTCAACCCGTGGTAGTTTTTTGCCACGCAGTGTGGCCAAATTGGTGATGTTGCGGGGAAAGTCACGCCCAATGAAAAGTATAATGACATCCTCAGAAATTTTAAAATTACATCATCACAACGTTTTTGTTGTGAAAGCATACCTAGTGAAGGAATAAAGACTAAAAATGTTCCAATGTACGATTCGCACCGTCATACTCGTACTGTCGCGCTTGCAATGTTTTTTTTTTACATCTTTGATGCCAGTATTTTTTTTTTTTTACTTTCCGCCAGAGCTTGACGTCAGGTATAGTTTTTTTCTACATAAGTTGTAAAAACTGCACCTAAAATGACACTGAAGACGAGCTTTTTTTTTTTGAAGATAGTGACATCTTCATACGACTTTTTTATACATCCTCCCCCTAACGCTAAACCAATTTGGCCACACTGTTGCCACGAGTAGGCACGATGACTGAGTCACCCTACTGGCTGAAGCCACGGACAACCTACTGACCTACTGGTTGTCTCACGGACACCGCGTGTTCTAGATTCAGCGTTACGGATAGTCTTTGACATTACTGGTACGGACTGTGACGTCATTGATGCTTTATGACGTCATTAGACAACCTAGGACGTCATTGGTCAGCGCTGCACTGCCTTTTCGTGTGCCGTGCCCGGTGCCGCCACGGTAGCCCGAGTGGAAACCCAGGTAGGATTGAACTGTATAAACTTCACTGTCATCCCACGACATGCATTTGGTGGTCGATGATGCACCCAACACCCGTGTTATTGTCAATACGAGTTGTGCTTTGTATGGGCTATGCTTTGTATTTGCCGTGCTTGGTGAATTTGTTACAAACCGATTTGTTTTATGGTAGTAAAAGTGTAGATAGGATTGAAAATGAACTCAATTGGATGTAAGAGTTAGATAAATTTGTTTGTTAGTTGTGTTATTTATGCACTACCATGACATTTTTGACCGGTATAGGGTGTTCAATGTAGATAGCAGAATGCTTGTGCTTGATGTGACTGGACGTGACTGGCCGTCCTATGGGGCTGGCTGGAGGAGGAACTCCAGGGAACGAGCGCTGGATGCAGTGACTGTCCCGCCCGTGTGGGCCCTATAAAAGACGCGTGCGTGTTTTGCCGAATATTTGAGCGGATATGACGGGAGCCGTGGCTTCCCTCTGCGCTTCAGACAGTGTGAGAAACCCAGTGAGCATGTGTGTGTACCCACAGAGTTCGTAATAAACAGTGTCTTTTATCTCCAGTCTATGTGTGTGTTTCTATGTGCGAACGTGTGTCTTAATTTACACAAACCTGTGCGCGTGATGCGGTGATCGCGTCTGTCAGGCCCTTGTCACATATCAACATACAGGGTGTCCGGAAAGTCCTGACGCTTCTTTTGGACGTCGTCTAACGCGCGCTGTAATTATTGGACTTTCAACCAATCACCACAGATATGACCCCTCGTTCACCGCTCAGCTAGGGGTCACGTAAATATGACTTTGAAACCGTTTTCAGTGATAGGTATATGGGCGAAGATGCGCCTTGTCGCTGAGAGCCCGCGCGCGGGGGGCCCGGTGCGGCTTGAACGAGACGCGAGTTGCAGCGCGATGCGGCGTTTCCCGGCGAACGGTTGAGCAGGCAAAGGTACATTCCGGGTCGGAAATTTCTTAGAAAATATTCTCACTCAGTTACGACCACGGTATGCCAAAGCTGCTGAGACTGAAGCAGCATTTCAGCGGCAATCGAAGAAAATCTGGGGTCTGACGGACACAAATGTTCCATCATCTTCGTCAAGGTCAAATAAATGAATGACAGGCTGATCCACGAGGGGCTCCTGGACACGACAATCAAGGCGGCTTGCCCTAAGGGTCATTTCGCACTTCAACAGCACGGAGCGCCCTCCAACAATGCCGCTGCCGTCCAAACCAAACTGACAGGGGAGGTCGGCGGACCAGGTCACTGTGGTGAAATGAGATTAGGCCACCTTATTCTTCCAGCTTTAACCCGCTCGACTAAGGCATGCTACGCGTTTTGCAGAATGCTCTAGGCCACCTCTCATCCCAGCCTGGAGCCGCTGAAACTCGCATCATGACAGCATGGGAAGACAGGAAATGTCCTGCATCATCAAAACCCGCAGGCGTTTCCGCCCTTGCGTCGAGGCCGTCGTCGGCAGAGATGATGGTTACAATGAATGGGCACTTAGCAGAAGCATGTGGCTTGGTGTTCCTGGTCATTGTTTTGTTCTATTGTCGAGTATCTATGGACCAAAGACATTTATTTTAAAAACGTTGAAAAGCGCCAGGACTTCCCGGACACCCTGTATGGCTATACGCCCTGTATGGCACACGGAAAGTGCGTTCAGACTGACAAAAAAAAAAACAAAAAAAAAACATTGTAGGTGAGCAAAACTCGAAACCAATCAGCTGCTACAATATTCAGCGTAAAACAAAAACATGCATTCGTCTTGTGCGCTTTAAAGCTACGTATTATACAGATCCTTACTCAAAATGACAAAGTAGCTGTTCCTATTGCTTATCCCATAATTAACACTACCAGATGGAGACGAAAGGCTTCTTGCACAATTATAATATATTTACGTAGATAACACAGCGAATAGCGATATACTTCAGTCCGCGATCAATGAAAGAATACAAATTCATTTTCCCGCATACACAGTCACACACAAAATCATCACAAACGCAACATACTGGAATCAGATACAAGCCACACACCAGCACACACCAGCCAACAGACTCGCCCGAAGCACGGACCATCCATTGGCCGGTACCGCGCGCCTCATAACCCCAAGGAGGCTGAATTGCTGGACTGTGGTCCCACGTCGTCAAGGAAAAGGGGGAGAATGAGGGGAGACAAGGGCAGAGGAGAGGAGAGGGCAGTACATACACAGCCCGTGGCTAGCCAAAAGTGGAAGCGTGGATGACGCCTGCCCTGCCCCCTTTTCTCCTGTCTTGGGAGTTTGGGACTAAGGCCCAATTCAGACACACTCAAAACTAGTAGACGGCGCTGTGAATGGATCACCCTGCCCCCTCCTAGTCCCCTCTATGGAAAGTAGAGGGCGGTTCACACTCACCCGCGACTAGCAAGTTTATGGATGACGTCCTCTACAAACCAGAGAAGAGGATAAGCCAGACACACACGAGACCAACTGAGTGGACAGCATGACGCCTGTTCTGACCCTCCCCTCCCCTCTCCTTTCGTCCCGTACACAGGCGCTCCCATACCAGTAAAACTGCCTCCGATACGGTTCACCAAGATAGCGTGTTGGACACAGACTCCACGATGGCATTAACAATGCGATAAACACACAGGCAATTTATGTAAGCATACACAAGCAATAATATATCATAATAGTGACCACTTCCCCACGATAACCTGATGAGCAGACTGGTCTTATACCACCAGCTACCTCCGCACATACTCATTTGATATCATGGGGTGGGGGTGCGACCTTTGTAAGTGAGAAGGGAAGAGTAGGCCACTAGCGTTCCGGAAAGTCGTTCAGTAGAGGTTCGTCCAGCACCCTGAGGGAACAGAGCAGAGGGAAGATGTTACAGTTACAGTCAGTGAAACGGTCAGACCACTTTTGTAAGACATTTTTGTGTGGATTTCTTTATTGTATGGGTCATCTGATGGGGCATAGGTTAGCCAGATGCGAACGTGGTCGCAACTCCTTACAGTTACAGTCCATTATACTGGTGACCTGATTATATGGTAGTCTTTGCAGATCCGCCTTTTAACGTCCTGATATTCTCGTCCTAATTATCGTTGCTTTGCCGACTCCCCCCCCCCCCCAACCTCATGAGGTTAGTGGTAGGGGACGTGCCCTGCTAGGCCCACTCCCTTAGTCCCTTACCAGCATAATCATGTAGTCGCCAATCCCTACGACCCCGCCCAACTAACATGAGATAGTCGCTATAGTCCCCCTCACTAACCTGATGAGGTAGTCCTATGTATAGTCCGCACTGACCTAATAAGTTAGTCCCTATAGTCCCCCCACTGACCTGATGAGGTAGTCGCCGCAGTAGAGACACTCGGCGGCCACCAGTTCGTCCAGTTCTTCCCTGACGGTGACCCGTGGGCTGACCTGGGTCACTCCGCCGGCCGCTGCCGACCCCAGGTCGTCCTCTGGTAGCGTGGTCAGCTTGTGCTGCCGGGTCAGGTCAGGGATCAGAGGCCAGGAAACAGTTCAGGGGTAAGGGACTAATGACATCCCAGTAATCGCAGGTCAGAGGCTAAGCCATTGGCAAGCCAAAGCATTTATACCTGCAGCCTGCCTTACCAGACGTGGGGTGAGCACCACTCTTAGAATAAGCACAAACGCGCCATGAAATAAGCTATATAACCTAGCGTAACGAGGACTAACTGGACGTGACCTGACGTTACTGGGAAGCGGGACGTGATCTCACGTACCGTGGCATGTAACCTGACGTGACCGAACCGGACTCAACTCACCATGATCAGCTAACGAGACCTAACCCATCTGAGCCACCGCGTCCTCCCTCACCTCGAGTTCAGCGACCCTGTCGCGCTGCTCCTGACTGAGTAATGGGGTCACCTCGTCCGCCAGACAGTCCTGATGGAACTTGTGGCCGCAGGGAAACACGTACAGAGGCCGGGTGAGGAGCTGATGGCGGCAGATCTGACATGTGTCTGACGCCTGGGGAAGGGGGAAGGGGTGTCAGAATGTGACACTTATGACACGACTGACACATATGACACACGTACAGGCCGAGGAGTTGGTGCCGACAGATCTGACACGTATCAGACGCCTGGGGATGTGGGAAGGTGTGTCAGAATGTGACACATATGACACATATTATGACACATAACTCATCCTGACATACATGACACATGATGACACACGTTCAGAGGACTAAGGACGAGGGAGAGGGATCAAAATGTGACACATGACACATTTGCTACGCATGACACACGTATATACAGAGGCTGGGTGGTGAGCTGGTAACGGCACACCGGACGTATCTGACGCCTGGGGACGGGGAAGCGGTGAGTCAGTGACAGTCATGACTGACACCACATCTGACACGCTTGTCCCGTGTCCTGAAACACAGGGAGGATGGAGAAAATATTTGGCACACATTCAGTAGCTGCAGCTCAGTGCAAGGCTTGATCAGCCTGGTACACTGCTGGTGATACATCGGACGAAAAAAAAAATGTCAAACATATTTTACCAACCTAATCTCATCCCACTTCTCAACTCAAAGCGAAGATCGTATAATGTATTGTTGTCCGAGCTTTCCACACACAACAGTGAGCACTGATAAGGGCTAAAACTGTTATCTTCGGTTCTGCTCCAGACAGCATCGCAGCTCCAACGCCCCCCCCCCTCTTTCCCTCCTCTCCACACACTTGCTGTTCACGGTGGCTCTCCCTGCTAGTGCCCCAGGCCCGACTTGCCAGGCTTGGTGTTCGACACCCCTAGCTAATCTATGAGATTGGGTCGCATAAATTAGAGCGCAGCGCACGACTAAGGACGGAGTAAGGACCCCCGACCAGTCAGTTTCCCGAACAAGGCCCGGGCTGCAGGGTGACCTGCCTGTGAGCTAGGCTTTGTGATCGGTAAAATAAAGACCTCCCTGCTGAGAAATATTCGCCGAGTTGGTCTAGCTTGACAGGTCATTCGTCAACACCCTCACCGCTTTCGATGATTTCATGGAGCCAGGACGTTCGATGGCGTTTCCCCTCGGACTTGACATACACCCATCAGGCTAACGCACCGTCATATCATAAGCCCGTGGGATTCTTCCTAAATCCTTTATACCGACTAAAACCTACCTATTACATCGTATCTCTTATATCGCGCATCTCTACAATATGCATCTCATATCTGCAGTATCTCTTATATCCCGTATCTGCTGCACTGTCCGTACTGTAGCATATGCACCTGTATCTACATACATACACATGCTCCGCCGTCACCTACCTGTACGGTGACGTATCCCTCCCGGAAGTGTTCAATTTCCGTTCTCAGCAGTTCGGTGGCCCGCGCCGCCTCCTCCATGTCAGTTCGTAGCTCTCCGATGTGTTCGTTGTAAGACTGGTGGCAACACGTCACCCAGACGTCAGTGGAGGGGTGGGTGGCACGTCGGTGGAAGGTAGTCATAGTACATCATTACATGTGATGTAAGGGGGTAGTAAGCTGAAGTGTTAAGCGTCAGGAGCTGTAACTGACGTGGCGGTTCTGTGATGACTGATGAGTGATGACGGTAGTAATACGTGACGAAACATGACATACCCATACGCCAGTTAATCACGACTCTCATTTATGTGCACAACAAGCATTTCAAGACATAGAATGTCACAATCAGGAAACAACATATTTATCAAATTATCTTGCTTGGAAGAAGACGATCCATCACTTACGGTAAGGAAGCAGTACTTAATCAGCCAGTCACAATATTGTCAACAAACCACAATGTTTACCAATAACAAACTTACTGAAGCCTCGGCATCCACCCTGCCCAGGTGGTACTACGCAGAGCAGCTCGTGCTTCCTCTCCCCTCCCCCCCCCCTCCCCACCCCCGACTGCCGACATATCCCACCTGCAGAGAGTCACAGATGGCCTCCTTGAAGTCGTCGATGGTGACGAAGTCGGGGAAGAAGGGCAGCACGTCCTCGATCCTGAGCAGCCGACACTCGGCCAGAAACTGCATCGTCCGCTGCACGTCCTGGTCACACTGGATCGTGTGCTTGGCTGACGGAGGAGTGGGACACAACAGGCGTTAGAGAACTATGTCACTGTGGTATACAGAGGAATAGGGTTGCCGAGATAAGTTATAAGACGCGTATCGGTGGCTGATTTGCTCGAGCTAGTCGAGATCTATTTCGTAAGAATCTGATGTTCTTGCTGTGTGGTATCTACGGACGGATCTACGGAATGACGGATCCTATGGCGACTAGGAGCTGCTCAACTAAGGTTAGCTGATTTCGGAGAAGCAAAATCACGGGAACAGAAACAAGCTAAATGCAATAGAGCAAAAGTCAGCTATGTATAAGAGAGAATGTACAAAGTACAAAAGGGCATTTACGCGAGTCCCCAAAATTTTATCAGATAAAAAGGACTGACAATTATCCATTTTTGAACACACAAATGTCAGTGCGCAAAAAAAAAAACATACAATCATGCAGACACACGCACGTCCAGCCACTGTCACACCCCACATTAACGGCATGCGACACCGTCTACAACTCACCAATCAGCAACCAGAGCCTCTTTTTCAGCGTGTCGTCATCCTCGGGTAGGTTAGCCACCTGAGAATTACAGAAAAGAATATTGAAAACGGTAACGTAGCTACCGTCTTTTCCCGTAACACATAAGACGTTATACATCATTAGTTCCCAGTTACCCAACAACAGACACATACAATTTACAAAAAAAAAAAATGCAGAAAAATTCATAATTCCGACAAATTACGCGACACTTTAGAGAGCTGAATAAATGTAGGAATCCCATTCATTTATAGCTTATCCTGTGAAACTTCTAGATTTTATTGTATCGATATTTACTTATTCAGTTTCCTTGCTCACCAGTCCTAAATCAAGCATCCCCAAGAGCAAACAACAACACTCTCAACCCCAGCGGCCATCCCCGTACCCCTTCCCCTCGCCAGTCACCTGTTTGGCCAGCGCCACGTCATGCTTCAGGGCCAGCTCCACCGCCTCCTGGTACCGTCCAACCACGGTCAGAACGTGTACGGCCGCCCGCGGCTGGCGCACGAAGCACTGGCGCAGCACGTGGCCCGGAGTGTAGTGCACGCAGTGGCGGTCGGACCCTGCGGCACAACAATCACACACAAGACGGTCAGAGCCTGGGAGGAGAGAACGAACCAGATAAGAGTGTATTTAATACTGGCGCAGCACGTGGCCAGGAGTGTTAGTGGACGCAGTGGCGGTCGGAGCCTGCAGGGAGATGATAAAACACAGAGTGTAACAAACACAATATGACAGTCAGACCACAGTCTACCGCAACTGCATATGTCTTTACTTTTCACTTGCAACACGTCTTTTTATAAGACGAGCGTAGTTTCAGAACCATGAGCCGCTGGCAGAGCACGTCCGTATTAAAAAACGGCCATCGAAAGCCCGTCCTGCCACAAACCCTGTCCGATAGGCCAGGTTTACACCGTCTCGTCACCAAATCCCCTCCAGCGGTTACGTGCCATGTCCTGTAGGTCATGTTTATCCCGTCCTTTCACGTTCCCTGTCCGTGTATGCAGGCCAGCTGTTAGTTCTATTCCGTCCCGTCACGTACCCTGTCCGTGAAGGTAGGCCAGCTGTTAGTTCTATCCCGTCCCGTCACATACCTTGTCCGTGCAGGTAGGCCATCAGTTTGTCAGGCCTGTACCGCGTGTACAGAGTGACCAAGTAGTTATGAGCCACGTTGTCAGTACTCTCCAGAGTGTTGACGCAAAACTCCAGGTAGCGCAGAATCTGCTGACCCTGTTATCATAGGGAAAGAGAAGATTTAAACTAACCAGACATACTCAACTTGTTGAGTTGTCAGCCTCGGGCTCAACTTTGCCTCAAATAATTGTTTCAAGGACGCGACACGCGACATAGTATCATTAATCAAAAAAATCTGAAATCGGTCTTAAAAAGACTATACAAAAGGAAGTACTCCAGTGAATGACAATCAACATCAACAAATAACGTACGGTAATATAGCAAAATGAAACAAATCAAGCTATTCAGCATCATCCATCAGACCCTTGGCTTCGACTACAGGTCACTCCTATCACATCAAACATGTTTTTAACGAGCACTAACTCATCAACTCCCTTAACTTTCATGAGTTTAGGGAGTGCCCCTGAATGCCTTTTGCCTGAGTGCCTCTGAATGGGAGTGCCTTGCCCCGTGAATTCGTACCTGTTCCTCGGACGTATCGGCCAGTATGAGTCGCGGCATGAGCAGCGCCGGTTTGAGTTTCCGTCCCTGAGCGACCACCAGGTCTATGGTAAGAGTGGGTTCGGCTCGGACCAGCTGAGGGACCAGCTCACAGAGCAGCTGCGGATCCGGGTGGCGGCGCAGCGTCTCCAGCGCTAGAGAGGGGGGGGGGGGGTACGGAACGGTTAGTACAGTTCTGTTCGGACCAGCTGCGGCTGAGGCACCAGCTCACAGAGCAGCTGCGGGTCCGGGTGGCGGCGCAGCGTCTCCAGCGCTAGGTGGGGACAGATGGGGGAAAACGTGACAGTTAGTCGAGCGGGTGATACACTGTTGGGTACACATGTGGTAACACTTAGTGTCAGAGTTAGTGAGAGCTCTGGTGCTACATACATTTGCCATCCAACAGTAGCATCGCATGCGTAACATTTTGAACTTTAACATTTTGCAAATGTTTTATCTAGAAATTGTGGTTTATTTCCAAGAAATCACAGTGTGTTACATCAAAAAGAACATTATAGTGTTGTCTTTTAGGGAGAGAAAAAAAAGATGAATCACGCAGCAAATTACGACATTGGATGGCGGAAAGTTCGACAGCAGGCAGTGGACATTGGACAGCGGAAATAAACGTCATCTCACCTTTGGTGACGTGTCCGTTCTTGAGGTGATGTCTCACCACCGTCTCCCAGTCCCCGAGTAGCTCTGCCAGCTCTGTGACGGCCGCCCAGTCTCCGTGGCGCGACATCAGGTCGTACATGGTACTGCGCGCCTGACGCACGTGATCCTGGGGGGAGGGGGACGGGTCAGTCACACCGCCCAGTCGCCGTGGCGGGACATCAGGTCATACATGGTGCTGCGCGCCTGACGCACGTGATCCTGGGGGGGGGGGAGGGGGAGGCGATATGGTACGGTAAAGTTGGCACGGCCAACACAAGGGGGAAGGCTGACCATGAATCATGATGCATGGTGTACAGTCTGTCTTAAAAGTACCGCGCAAAGTGACGGTGGATCCATCATGCCTGACCGAGGAAGGGCCTATTAAATTTCAGTCACCGAAGCAATTCACATCCTCGTCCATTCCCTAGGTCAATTGGTTCGGTGACTTTCAAATTATAGCAGGCCCTACCTCAGTCAGGCTTGATGGATCCACCGTCACTTTGCGCGGTACTTTTAAGACAGACTGTACAGCAGCTGTACAGCTACGTAACACATACGCGTGTCGCGAATAAATTCACGCTGGGTTGCATGAAGAGACAAAAGTTACAAAGGGGAGGATCCTGTCGAAAATTTGCTGCTGTAAGGGCCGTAATTGATCAAAGAAAGCTAAGTACCACAATTATCCAAGATGACTGTGATGATTGACCAGAGGAAGACATATGTCATTATTTCAGAGCCAAGACCCTTCGGAAGACTAACCAGCGCGCGCTGCGACGTCAGGAACTGCATCATCTCCTTCCGCAGCTTCCTCCTGCTCTGCTCCTCCTCCTCCTCCAGCCTATCCAGCTGAGTGAGGAACAACTCCAGGCACCAGATGACCAGCAGGGCGGCGCGGACCCCGCCAGAGGCGGGCAGGGACGACAGGCGCTGGAACCAATCAGGGGGTGTCAGGCGACAGGGAGGACCAATCAGAGGGGAGTCAGAGGAAGGGAGGGCCAATAATAGGGATTTAAACAGAGGCAGGGTCAATCATGATAGGTATAATTAAACGACGAAATGACTAATCGTATGGCGTCAGTCAGCTGAGTGCTTCAATCACGACGCTGATTTCCGAACAAATACTTAAAATAAGCATTCAGTATCAAACTTCACAAAGCATTTGAATAATGTTTGATATGTCGAGACAAACCCATGAGATGGATGAATAACCCTTCGAATTCAGGACACACAAGCAGCGAGTCAAAATAGGCGAGCAGCCTCAAATATCCGTCAACCGATTCTGCCTGCCCCTAAGTACTTACCATCATAAGGAACTGTCGTAGTGGACCGTACTCCTCTTTGCCCATGAACTTGAGGGCCACTTCCTCCAGTCGGCACCGGGAGTCCGCGAACAGCTCAGCGCTGCGGGCGAACCTGGGGGAGAGACGGATGGTTACTACTGGGAGAGACGGACGGACACTGGGTGTCAGCGAACAGCTCAGCGCTGCGGGCGAGCCTGGGGGAGAATTGGGACAGATGGTTACTTGGGAGAGACGGATGGCCACTGAACTCTATAATGTGGAAGGCGCATCGGCCGCCAGATGGTGTCCAATGGTGCCGCCATGTTGCGCAGACCAGGAAGCGGCCGCCGCCTGTGTTGGGGAATAGGGAATTCGGGACCTCGATTTACGTTTGCGGTCGCTGCATCCGTTACGTTCAAGCTATGTGGACACGGAACCCGGCATCTTACGCAGAATTGAGTGGAGAACAAGATGAAATCCTAAAAAATCCTCAGATACAAGGAACTAATACGTTAAACCGTTATAAGTCAATGGGGAAATATGAAAATTGCTATTTTGGCGCCGAGAATGATCTGAAACTATCTCAAGCATAAAGAATCATGATTTCATGCACTCTTTGCAAGGTTCTATGCTTCATATTTGCATTGTTGCCCTTGTGTGACGTCATTTGTGACGTCACAAGGGTCACAATTTTTCTTCAATAACTCCCGATCAAATTGAGCTAGCGAGTCGGGAAAGCCACCAATAGACTCAGGAAGACCTGCCGAATCGAACGATATGCGACATGACCTCTTTCGACCAACTTCGTGACCTGGGGGTGCTGACCTGACCTTGACCTGAGGTCAACACCCTAAGTTGACCTGACCCGAACAAAAAGTATATCACTCGATGCGCCTAAGCTAGCTGAACACGATGATGCCAAAATCGCGGCTCTACAGCCATTTTTGGCGAAGTTATTTACCAAAAACCGAACCCGTGCCTTAGATCACTTGACCTGACCTCAGAGGTCACCGGTTGACCTGAAACCCTTACAGCGGGTTCCTACCAGTCACTGCATTATACTTTGCCGCATACGACCACTTTACCTAGTTTAATTAGCGGCGCATTAGCGAGGTGGGTTCAATCAACCCCCTCGGCCGGGGCAAATGTAGGTCCGGCGAGTGAATTTGAGGAATTCTGAAGATACGATCGTGTTCCCCACTCAATACTGCGTAAGATGCCGGGTTCCGTATCTACGTAACTTGATGGTAACGGATACGGCGGCCGCAAACGTAAATCGAGGTCCCGAATTCCCTATTCCTCAACACAGGCGGCAGCCGGTTCCTGGTCTGCGCAATAATTATGGCCGCCACCGTTAGACACTACGGCCAATAGGGTTGAAGCGGCAGTGCTCCCCTGTGCGGACGGCACTCTGGGTGTCCGCAAACTGAGGTCAGGACTGCGAAGAACCTAGGAGAGGGTCAGCTCAAGCTGTGATAGGGGCGGCGATGAATGGCTTTGCACGGACGGGTCGGCGGCGATGTGACGGGGAACAAAAGAATGGACCAAAGCCAAAATACGAGCATGTGTTGACTTTCCTTTTAGCCAGCCCAACCCACTGGCCACGAGTGTGACAAATGCATGCGTGTGTGCGCGCGCGTTTTTAGTTTCACTCACTCTCCCTTGTCGAAGCAGTCCTCCGCCTGGTGAGCTGTAATTCGGTCCACCACGGCCGGGTTGCTCTGACAGTGCTGGCGAGCCAGATCGTACTGTCCTTTAGATACGAACACCTGAAACAGACGGACATTACACGGGGTTATAAACGGGACGAGGCCCAAATACAGAGCTACAACAGTGCTGACGGGCCAGATCGTACTGTCCCTTAGAGACAAACACACAGCACAAATAAAACATTATCAGCTACCCCTGGAAAGACAACACACACACACAAATCTCAGAACAGCATAACACTAGGTAGTTAGTGAATAATCGTATTCATGGATCACATATAATGAGATATGCATTAATATGCAGTGAAAGAGATGGAGAGGTAGACGACCGCGAAAGAGTGCAAGAGAAAGAGCGCAAGCCGCAAGAGAAAGAGAACAAGAGTCAGTAACTTCACTTCCTCCCTCTTTCCCTCCTTCCCTCCATCCAGGAGGAAATGAAGCCTCTCATCATCGACCCTCCCTCGTCCCTCGCATGTGCTATTCACCAGTCCTCTCCTTACCTGCCAGACATCCCTGGTCTCATCCACCACCTTGTATTTGTAGACGGCCCTCTCGGCGGCGCTCCATAGGGTGCCGTGTATCGGGTCACGGCAGATGGTCAGCAGAGGACCGTGAGCCTGCAGAGAGGGGTCCAAAAATGTCAGTAAGGGTCGTGAGCCTTAGAGATGGATCAGAACAGATAAAAGGGGGCCATGAGATTGGAGCAGAAGGTCCCGACATCAGCTGTAGCTGTAGCTGTAGCGTCAGCTGTAGCGGTCAACATACCTGGCGCCGGCTCCTGAAGGGATCCAATAACAAGATACCTACGCATATTCTGTCTTTAATCTGCATTTACCATTATGAGTGCTAACCTTTGGTGATCAAAACATAAAATTGCGATATAATTCGACGCTCCGCGCTTGTCGTTTTCTAGTGCGCAGAGGGATCCTATCCCCAACGGAAATCGCCATCGCCTTCTCCCTTCTCCCATCGACTCGCCACTAACCTCACTGGCCAGGTCTTCAAACACGTGTCGCTGGTCGAGCACACACGTGGCGCGCACACGTGCCGGCTGCAGTAGCAGCACGTGGAACTCTGTGAGCGCCAGGGCACGTGGCGCGTGTCGCTGCTGTCCGCCCCCCGCTCCGGCTCCGCCTCCGGCTCCGGTGGCTCCGGCGGCTCCTGCTCCGTTTGTGTCGTGAGCCAGGAGGTGAGTGTCGGTTACTAGACCGTCTGTGCCATCCGTGTCCACCTGAGAGGCAGAATATGAGGGTCGGAGGTTAGACTTGGCCAGGTCGAGTCAGAGGTCAGTAGTCACTGATCATATACGAATGTGGTAGATAGATAGATAGATAGATAGATAGATAGATAGATAGATAGATAGATAGATAGATAGATAGATAGATAAGCTTTATTTCAGACTCTGGGTCCATACTCTTAAATACTGAGGATACGAAGGCAGTGGCCAATAGGCCATATTCAGAGCCTAGTAGTCATAGTGTGTTGTTGTTTACGGCCAGTCGAAGTCAACGAATTTATGGAAGTCATATTAGGTCACAAATCACAGGCCAATGTCCAACTCTGCGAGTGAAATGTTCGGATCTGAGAAATTAAAGACTGGCTGGGCCAGGGTACCGTTTATACGCAGCTTCACAAAGATGAACCCCTGTAGCTGTATATTACGAACTGCACTGGATCGAGTGTTTCGCAGTACTAAACACCCCCCTAGAGAGGTAGCTCAGGTTGGGATTTTCAATAGAAAATCACAATTCTAAAGAATAGTGATTGTTCTTAATTGAAAAGTCCCAACCTTCGGATACTCACCCGTCCGACCAGCACTCCAGGTTCAGTGAGCCAGGCGAACCGCTCCGGCGGCGCGCCGGGCCGCGGGTAGAAGAACGCCAGCCGAGAGAACGACAGAGAGCTGGGAATCTCCAGAAAACGCTCTGTGGGAAAAGGGGAGGAGAAAGGACAGAGTGAGACGAGACAGGGCTGAAACAACAAGGTAAGGTAACAACGCTCGGCATTGGGCAGAACTGGGTTAGGGCATATGCGACTTGTAGCAATAAATGATAGCCGGTTCACAGATGAGCATTTGAGCTGACAGGCTAGTGGCAGCATCGACCTAGCACACACTTTGCTCAGTGTTTGGAATGGGAGATTTTACACAGTTAACGGCGTTCGTGAGTCAACCCTGACTCTAGCTACTCAGTACATTGCACCCCAACAACACAGGCAGCACTGCACACAAGTGTACTCGTTTTTCGGAACTCATCTCTCCTTAAGGTATTGAATATACCCGGCATACCCTAAACTCGTCACACCGTACCCTGTACGGCGAAGAGCGGTGTCAGCAGCGGTCGGGCGTCGTGCGCGGGCACGGTACCGGTGTACTGGTACAGTCGTCCGGCCGTGGCCACAAGGGCTAGGTACCGGTCAGTGTCGGGTACTCGGTGGTACTCCAGTCCGGTCACAGAGGCCGGAGGGGTTAGCTCCAGGACCTGAGACACAGCAGAGCAGGGAGCAGACAGTGAATGGACAGTAAGACAGCAGACAGAAGCAGTTAGACAGAACCAGCGCCAGGTACCGGTCCGAGTCCGGTACCCGGTGGTAGGTACTCCAATCCGGTTACCGAAGCTGGAGGGCTGAGTTCCAGAACCTGTAGGGTGCATGTAGCAGTCGTAAAGAGAGGTCGGCGGACTCAGTTCCAGAAGCTGAGACACAGTTCATATAGCAGGCAACTGCTCACTGCATGCACAGCCCTCAGTTCCAGAATCTGAGAGATGCAGAGGTTTAAACCGATAGGTAAATAATCCGGTAGACAGGCAGGTACAGCTAAATGACTCGTTGACATGCACAGGCACAAATGGCCGATGAATCGCAAATTAAGAACTATATTCATTTTTATAACTCATCATTTACCATATCCGTCAAGACAGCCCATATTCAGCCCAGATTCAGCCCGGATTCAGCCCAGATTCGGGACACCTCCGAACAAGCTGAAACTCGCACACAATGTAGGCCATGACATGCCCAATCCACAGTCCAAGTCATTCGGTGGCACTCCCAGCCGGTTGACCTACAGAGGTCAGCAAAGGTCACGTGGCCCAAATTTGCACAGCAGATTGTGGCCCACCCAGTAGAGCTAGAGCGCTAAAAATGGCACCAATCGACTCGCCAGCATCTAATCTTACTTTCCCAACACTCATTTGACCTCTCAAGGTCATGCGATGACCTAAGGTCATTTGTGGGCTATGTCGAAAATACACTTGCACAGCAGTTTTCGAGTAGATGGATTGACCGAATTCCAAATCAAAGCACATCATCGGGTAGCCCATAGGCCGTAGTAACTTTCCTTAAAAACCGCTTCTCGATATGTGACCCCATTTGACCTCGGCAGGTCAAAATGTGCAAATAAACGACACTCAATACGTCGCAGCCCGGATTCAGCCCAGATTCGGGACACCTCCGAGCAAGCTGAAACTCGCACACAATGTAGGCCATGACATACCCAATCCACAGTCCAAGTCATTCGGTGGCAGTCCTAGCCATTTGACCTACAGAGGTCAGCAAAGGTCACGTGGCCCAAATTTGCACAGCAGATTGTTGCCCACCCAGTAGAGCTAGAGCGCTAAAAATGGCACCAATCGACTCGCCAGCATCTTATCTTACTTTCCCAACACTCATTTGACCTCTCAAGGTCATGCGATGACCTAAGGTCATTTGTGGGCTATGTCGAAAATACACTTGCACAGCAGTTTTCGAGTAGATGGATTGACCGAATTCCAAATCAAAGCACATCATCGGGTAGCCCATAGGCCGTAGTAACTTTCCTTAAAAACCGCTTTTCGATATGTGACCCCGTTTGACCTTGGCAGGTAAATAAACGACACTCAATACGTTGTTGTTGTTGTTGTTGTTGTTTGTTCCCTCCAGGTCGACCTCAGTCTACTGTAGCCTGACGGCTCTGCAGGGTCCTGAACGCGGCCGCCAGGGCCGCGACAACTCCGTCGCTCCGCACCTCTTCCCTGTTGGGTCTGATTGTCCCGGTGAGTCGCAGCCTGGCGCCCATCAGGGCCGGGCACTCGACCAGGACGTGGTACGGAGTATCCGCCGTCTCTCTGCACAGGGGGCAGCGGGCACCCTGGCAGTCCACGTCTTCGCACTGCGGGCAGTGTCGCGACGGGTTCCGGCCGATTCGGTGGAGGTACTGGGCGGAGCCTGACCAGTGCCCCGTTCGCAACTGGTGCACATCCACCGCCGCTGTTCGATCCAGGTGTCTGACTGGTCCCGGCAGCTTCGCTCCCATGAGGCTGCGGTACCATCCGCGCGGCCAGTCGCTGACCCACTGGTCCCGCGCCGTCCTTGCCACCGCGCGGTACACCGTCATGGCGTCGATGGGGACTTCCTCTTGGTCCAGTGCTGAAGCTTGCTTCGCCAGCTCGTCCGCTCTCTCGTTCCCGGGCAGGCCGCAGTGGGAAGGTACCCACTGTAGGTAGGTACACCTGCTGCGGGCCGACAGCTGTTGAAGCGCCGCCCAGATTTCTCCTCCTATGAGTGCTGTTTGGGTAGAGGGGCCACCCCGGAGTGCCGCCAGAGCTGACTGGGAGTCCGTGCATATCACGATCGGCTCAGGAGGGAGGGTTTGTCGGTCCAGCAGGAACTTCAGCGCTTCTCTGAGGGCTACCATTTCAGCACGGTAGCTGGAGCAGACGTTCCCCGCCGGCACCGTGAGTAGGTGCTGCTGGCCGTCCGGGTCCTCGATGAAAACGCCAGCGCCGCCGTTTGTGATGCCTCCCTCTACCGAGCCGTCGGACCAAACCCAAGTCGCCCACTGTGGCAGACTACCTAGGTGACAGGTCGCCGCGTCTCTCTTCTGTGTGGAAGTCGCAGCCTCCTGGAGGAGCCCGCCTTCAGACGCCTGGCGTCACGGTGGGAGGTGTGGGCCGTCAGGCCCGCCGCGCCCGGTCTGCAGCCGGAACGCGGTCACCAAACGGGCTCCAACCGTGCCCTCTCCGAGAGGGACCTGGCAGCGGCCTCCCGCCGCGCCACCTGTTGCTTCACACTCAATACGTCGCAGCCCGGATTCAGCCCAGATTCGGAACACCTCCGATCAAGCTGAAACTCGCACACAATGTAGGCCATGACATGCCCAATTCACAGTCAAAGTCATTTGGTAGCACTCCCAGCCGTTCGGTTTGACCTGCAGAGGTCAGCAAAGGTCACGTGGCCCAAATTTGCACAGCAGATTGTGGCCCACCCAGTAGAGCTAGAGCGCTAAAAATGGCACCAATCGACTTGTCAGCATCTAATCTTACTTTCCCAACACTCATTTGACCTCTCAAGGTCATGCGATGATCTAAGGTCATTTGTGGGAAAATAAGATTAGATGCTGGCGAGTCGATTGGTGCCATTTTTAGCGCTCTAGCTCTACTGGGTGGGCCACAATCTGCTGTGCAAATTTGGGCCACGTGACCTTTGCTGACCTCTGTAGGTCAAACGGCTGGGAGTGCCACGGAATGACTTGGACTGTGGATTGGGCATGTCATGGCCTACATTGTGTGCGAGTTTCAGCTTGATCGGAGGTGTCCCGAATCTGGGCTGAATCCGGGCTGCGACGTATTGAGTGTCGTTTATTTGCACATTTTGACCTGCCGAGGTCAAACGGGGTCACATATCGAGAAGCGGTTTTTAAGGAAAGTTACTACGGCCTATGGGCTACCCGATGATGTGCTTTGATTTGGAATTCGGTCAATCTCTCTACTCGAAAACTGCTGTGCAAATGTATTTTCGACATAGCCCACAAATGACCTTAGGTCATCGCATGACCTTGAGAGGTCAAATGAGATGGGGAGGTAAGATTAGATGCTGGCGAGTCGATTGGTGCCATTTTTAGCGCTCTAGCTCTACTGGGTGGGCCACAATCTGATGTGCAAATTTGGGCCACGTGACCTTTGCTGACCTCTGTAGGTCAAACGGCTAGCAGTGCCACCGAATGACTTGGACTGTGGATTGGACATGTCATGGCCTACATTGTGTGCGAGTTTCAGCTTGATCGGAGGTGTCCCGAATCTGGGCTGAATCCGGGCTGCGACGTATTGAGTGTCGTTTATTTGCACATTTTGACCTGCTGAGGTCAAACGGGGTCACATATCGAAAAGCGGTTTTTAAGGAAAGTTACTACGGCTTATGGGCTACCCGATGATGTGCTTTGATTTGGAATTCGGTCAATCCATCTACTCGAAAACTGCTGTGCAAGTGTATTTTCGACATAGCCCACAAATGACCTTAAGTCATCGCATGACCTTGAGAGGTCAAATGAGTGTTGGGAAAGTTAGATTAGATGCTGGCGAGTCGATTGGTGCCATATTTAGCGCTCTAACTCTACTGGGTGGGCCACAATCTGCTGTGCAAATTTGGGCCACGTGACCTTTGCTGACCTCTGTAGGTCAAACGGCTGGGAGTGCCACCGAATGACTTGAACTGTGGATTGGAAATGTCATGGCCTACATTGTGTGCGAGTTTCTGCTTGATCGGAGGTGTCCCGAATCTGGGCTGAATCCGGGCTGAATCTGGGCTGAATATGGGCTGTCTTGATTAACATTCATTTACCTCCCCCCTCTTGTCTTCTGACCCATACAACGTCATTCTACAAGTATGTCTGCAGTTCATACATAACAGTCGTACCTTTCAGTCTTTTGTCGATTAATCCGAACAGTTTCGCCGTTTGGTACCTGTTTATTGTAGACCTCCAGTCGTGAGAACCTCCTCTCGTCTGCAGTGAGCTCCAGTTCAGTGACGACTCCCTGAGAGTTTCCCGCTAGCAGCGGTCCCGTGGTGGCCGGGGTGGCCAGAGTGTGGCTCCATCCAACGGCCGTGATCAGCTGACCGCGCAGCTGACCTACCTGGGGTTACAGGGGTCATATAGAGGTCACACATAGGCCACGAGGGTCATCCACCGGCAGTCATCAGCTTATCGTGCGGCTGACATGTCAGCTGACCTGACCTACGTCACACAGTCACAGATGAATGAATGAATGGATGGATGAATGAATGATTGAATGAATGATTGAATGAATGATTGAATGAATGATTGAATGAATCTTGTAGTAAGTGACCGAAATGGGGGATCACAGAGATAACTGAGGAAAAGCATGCCAAAAAAGGAGAGAAACAGAACATCATCGACTCAACTGTTGCCTCCCTGTCTCCCTGTTACCTGTCTGCCTGTTGTCTGACCACCCTGTCTAATTAGCTGTCTGGCTCTGACTGCCCTGTCTGTTGTCTGACCGCCCTGTCTGATAACCTGTCTGGCTCTGACTGTCCTGTCTGTCCGTACCTGTCTGGCTCTGACCGCCCTGCCAGGTAGGTAGAGGAGCTGCGCGCCGGTCAGGTCTCCGTCTGTCTGGTCCTGTCTGGCTCTGTCTGTCTGTCTGTCCGTACCTGTCTGGCTCTGTCTGTTGTCTGTCCGTACCTGTCTGGCTCTGACCGCCCTGCCGGGTATGTAGAGGAGCTGCGCGCCGGTCAGGTCTCCGTCTGTCTGGTCCTGTCTGGCTCTGTCTGTCTGTCTGTCCGTACCTGTCTGGCTCTGTCTGTTGTCTGTCCGTACCTGTCTGGCTCTGACCGCCCTGCCGGGTAGGTAGAGGAGCTGCGCGCCGGTCAGGTCTCCGTCGCGCGGCGCCGCCGCCACCAGTAGATGGTGGCCGGACGGGTCCAGGTACAGCTGCTGAACACGACAGCCGGCTGTCTCCTTGGATAGATCCACCTCTGGGGGAGCGGAGGGGAGGGCAGGTCAGGTCAGTTCAGGTCAGGTCAGGTCAGGTCACTGGTCAGGTCAGGTCAGTACGACAGCCGGCCGCCTCCCTGGAAATGTCTAGCATTATATCTAAATCTGAAGGAGGAAGTGGAGGGGAGGGGAGGAGAAAGGGAGGCAAGTGGAGACAAGGGGGAGGGGGGTCGGGTCGGGTCAGCACGTCAGAACATATCAGCTCATTGTTGTCAAACTCCACCTCAAGCTAAGTTAAAACAGGTAACAACCTGTGTCAACGCATTAGACCACAACGTCGGGAAAGATTAGGTACATACGTTGGGGCACGACGTCGATCCCCGTGCCGTGAGCAGGTCACGCTAGGGCCCCCATCCCCCACCCCCACTCCGTGCATTGTAATGTGCGGCTCGTCGTCCCCCAACCACACAACTACTCAATAATCTTTCTCCTTCCTTCTCCCGTACCACCATGCGGCTGTTCGGGCTGTAGCTATCCCACCCTCTCTCTCTCCCTCTCTCTTTTCCCTCCTCTCTCCCGTACCGTGCGGCTGATTGGGCTGTAGCTACTCCCCCTCTTTCTCTCCTTCTCCTCCCTCTCTTCTTCCCCTCCTCCTCTCTCCCCGTACCGTGCGGCTGATCAGGCTGTAGCTACTCCCCCCCCTCTCTCTCCTCCTCCCTCTCACTTTTCCCTTTCCTCTCCCCGTACCTACCATGCGGCTGATCGGGCTGCATCAGGTCGATTCTCAGCAGTGTTTTGTTGGCCAGCGCCACGACCAGCTGATGGTTCGCCACCACCAGATGCGTGATGGGAGACGTCGGCTGGAAGTTCACCTTCTGCTTCGTGAAGATGGGCTGCACGACGCTGGCCGACACCTGCGGACGACGGATGAGAAGAGAAGGCAGTGAGGCGGCGCTGAGCTTAGAGTTCAGATGAGCTCAGGAAACTGAGTATGGGTGAGGCAAACATTCCTTTTCTAGATATTTGGTTGAAAACTATAATGAGCAATAAGCGATTTCTTGATCATACTGGTCACAAATTGAAACTGTTTTACAGTCAACAGAGTGAACAGAATGACTGCTTTTATCCATCGTTGAATGATATGTTCGAAGAGATAGCCAGAAAGGATATCACGGATACCAGGCTTCAGCGGTAGGGTTCATATCCGTACAAAAGAAGACAGTTCGGACGAGGCATAATCGCCACTGATAAGATTACGTGTGTTACCGCTCTCAGTGTCTTATCACAAATGTCAAAACAAACAAATGACCAACTACTCCTGGAACACAAACAGATCAGGTCCAAAGATATGCACTAAGCAGTTCATAACAAATTAGCTGCACTTCGTTTTTCTATGCTATGTGTAAGCATAAATACTCGTATTACATACACAGAGTGGTCACATGTCCCTGAGGTTCTGAAGCCCAAGGTTCCTTTAGGCTCTGTACAACTTACCCCTGCTGGGAGCGACCGAGGCCCGGCCGCCTGGCTCGACTGAGCATATTGCTCCAGCAAACTAGCCATGACTGGCTCAAAATCACTGAGCTGTTCCGTTTACAGGTGACTCATCTGAAAATAAAACAGAAAGACGCTGATAAAGAGGACCAAGGTGTAATACAAATTCCATCTCCCTTCTTATTAAAAACATTAGGTAGTTTGAATGTTTTGAATGGACGTATTGGCGAACTCAAAGCCCATGCTAACCAGACATCGTAGCGTAACCAGATATCGCAGCGTAACCAGACATCGTAGCATATCCAGATATCGTAGCGTAGCCAGACATCATAGCATATCCAGATATCGTAGCGTAGCCAGACATCGTAGCGTAACCAGACATCGTAGCGTAGTCCGAGATCGTAGCGTAGCCAGACATCGTAGTGTAACCAGACTTCGTAGCGTAAACAGATATCGTAGCGTAACCAGACATTGTAGCGTGCCACGCAGGCATTGAGTTCTCCTGTCCGCTCGGGACATTGCGGGTAGTCGTACTCGTGGGAGTCCAGAAGTCATCAAAAACCACCGCGGAGCCCTGACACGCTCATAACGACCGAGATGCTACTTGTTCAGGAAAGGAAATAGATGAAACGCTCACCCTTACCGAATGTGAACTAAACTAAGACAGACGTGGAGTCATTAAACGCCACTATGGGTCTCAATATGATCAACCTTTTGAATGGCGTCGGGCCATAAAAGAACCGTGTCACGTCATCTGTGGTCGAATTAGACATGGCGTAGGATATCTAGCCTCATTTGGGTACTGCCAAGTGCCAAATAGACGTAGCTCCCTCCAACACCAATGTAAGAACACCAAAGGCTGTCATGCTGAACCTTAGAAGGTGCAAGGATTAGGCCCTTAGAGGATGACAAAGTACTAAGCAGGATGCAGGTCAGAATAGGGACATGATTGAACTAGGAGAAAAAAGAACCTTGCCCACCTTGCCCTTGAACTTGCCCTAGAACCTTGCCCATCCCAAGATTCTTCAAGAAAGCTCACCCCAGGGCCCAGGCCCCAAGACACCCTTGACTGCAGGCTTATCAGTCAGTGTGGATTTTCTGCAACATTCTGCATATCAGAGGCAGTGGTGTGAATATTTTACAATGGTGTGGAATAGTGTGGGCTCAGCCATGCCAATGTGCTGAACTAAGGCTCTGGCATCTGACCAGTGACCAGACTGCACGCTGCAATCCATAAGCACTAACCCGCATTCGGAGTCTCTCGGATGACAAAGATTCTACATTGTCCGGCCAATCCCGTTCCATAACCGCAGCCAAGCCCCCACTGACCTTGAACGGGATTGGCCGGACGACGTAGAATCTTTATCGTCCTAGAGACTCCGAACGCGGGGTAAATGTCAGTTACTATTGATCAGAGGGTCCAACAAATACTTTTATTTGCCACTTCCAGTGCTGCACCAGCAGCCAGTCATTCACCCAGACTTCAAAGCATGGCAATGACTTCAGTTCAACATCTTGTTGGTGTGGAGGCATTCAACTTGGCACTGAAAGGGGTAATTTGTGAATGGAGACCAGAGAGTCATGTGACATTGATTTGGTGTGGCGCAGTGAGGCCCCAAGGCCTCACTGTTCTTCACCATGGTATGGTGAAGAACTGCTGTGGTGATGCTTCAGTGTCCGATAAATAATGCCCAGTACAGTATAAGAGTTACTGTGGGCCTGTGGGGACAGGTAGAGAAAAATTGACTTTTAAGTGAAGCTCACACAGCAAAAGGTAGTAGGTACATGTGTCAAAACAAGGTGAAAAATATGGGTCTTGTTTAGTGTTGGCTTGTTTCATGGACTCTCAGTCTAGTTGGTGTTGGCTGGTGAGAACTTATCACCCTAACTGGTCTGGTGTGTTACCTACTGTCAGATGAGATTTGAGCACATAACAAAGGGTTCAAGAGTCCAGCTTTGATGATGTCTTGTATGTATGTAATATGTACCTATGTATGTATGTATTATCATCATGGACAATCCACACAGAGCATCAGCTCTTTTCTGTCTCATGCTCTCCTAACTGGCACAGCTCATCCTCCACAGCATTGCTGCCACCCTTTGCACTATCAATGTTATGGAATAGCTCTAGCGCATGCACAATATGAGTGCAAACAGACTTCAAAGTATCCAGCCTGATGGCCTACTGTAGGCTAGTGACAAGGATTTTTCCTTGCCAAGTTGCCGCTGGGCCAGTCTGCTGGGCCTAATTGATTTTCTTGCCGTAATTTGTGGTCATGACTTTTCACCGAAAATAAAAAGACATAGGTATAGGTATAGGTATAGGTATATAGATAATGGACTTGGGGTAGCAGTATGCTATTTGTTGTCCATGTCATTGTTGGCAAGGAAACATGTCAGGGTACTCATTGAGGTTGGAGGTCACAGGTCACAGTACTTGGCTTTGAGCTGGAGGTGCTTATCTAGCTTAGCTTTAAATGTAGCAGTGGTGTCAGCAGACACAACATCATCTGGTAGCTTGTTCCAGTCATTAGCCACCCTCTGTGAGAAGAACCTTTGTCTGGCTTGATGGACTGACTGCTCCTTGTGTAATTTCATATGGTGACCTCTTGTGTTTGTCGTCCTCAGTTTGAAAAACTTCTCTCTCCTCACATTGAGCTTCCCTGACATGATTTTATACGTCGCAATCAAGTCGCCTCTTTTAATCCTGTCTTTAATAGATACGGTCTTCAGGACTTTTAGTCTTTCTTGGTATGGCCTGTGCTTTAACCCCCTCACCAATCTTGTAGCTCTGCGCTGGATGTTTGTATTTGTATTTGTATTTTACATCATCGGCACTCTTCCACTCAAGGTGGCTATTCCGAGCCCTCGTCAAAACAGTAAGCGCGTTAAAAAGACACATAAACAGTTAAACCTGCAAAAGTATAAAAGCACGGCTGCACGCTAAAACTAAAAGCACAGCTAAAATGTTTGTATGGTCGCCTATCCATCTAGCTGACTAGGTGACTTTTAATACCTTTCTTAAAGCGCGGACCAGACATGACCTGAAGCTCTGTTCCTATAACATGTTCGTTGTACAGTTTACACGCTCGCTGCTTAAAAGTTCTTTGGCCAAGGCTGGTTCGAACACGCGGTACATGTAAATGACCGGACTGCCTAGTCTGGCGCTCGGAAACATCTCTATTGTACGATATGTCCTGTCGCAGTACCTCAGGCTCATCCCTGCTAATCACCCCGTGTAGCAGACATACGTCGTTCATGTCAATCAACGCACTGACGGGGAGCCACTCCAAATTCCTAATCACGTCGGACACATGATCATACTTCCGTCTGCCAGATATCACTCTGGCAGCAAAGTTTTGCACTTTCTGCAGTCGCTTTAAGCTCGTTTTGCTGGCACAGCCGAATACCTTACCTTACCTTACCTTACCTTACGGTTTCGGGATTTTTAGGCATAATGGCCTGTGGTACCCGATCTTATCGAGCTCCTGGGATTGTGGCTTTACGAGATCAGTCAGGATCAGGTATGGAGTATATGATGTGGGACCAGTGTGCGTCCAGTCTTGCCTTGAAGCAGTTCAGCGAGGGTGCACCAACCACCTCGGAGGGGAGTCCATTCCAGTCGTTCACGACTCGGGCGGCAAAGGCCGACCGCCTCACCCTCGAGGCTGCTGGAAACTTCTGGATTTTAAACTGATGTCCCCGAGTAACTCCTCCAGCCAGAACGAAGAATGACCTGGGGTCGGCATCGACCCCTCCGTGGAATAGCTGGTATGTGAAGATCATATCACCTCTCAGTCGTCTATAATGCAGTGATGGCATCTTCAGTTCTTTGAGTCGCTCCGTGTAGGGTTCGTGGCGGATGCTCTCTACCAGCCGGGTTGCCCTGCGCTGAACTCTTTCGACCTGTCGCTGATCCGCTCTGTTAAATGGACCCCATACAAGGTTCCCATATTCTAAGTGTGGGCGAACCAGGGTTTTGAAAAGAATGGGCAGCGTGACTTCGTTGATGAGGGAAAACGACTTCTTGATTACAGCGAGGAGCTGCGTAGCCTTCGCCACTGCTGACGCTGCGTGTTCGCGAAACTTAAGAGCTTCGTCCACGTGGACACCAAGGTCTTTCTCAAGTCTTGCACTGGCTAGTGGAAAATCGCCCAGAGTGTATGAGAATCCGCGATTTGTGCTTCCTATGTGCAGTACGGTACACTTGTTCTTGTTAAAAGGCACCATCCACAAATCTGACCACTTTAAGAGAGCATTCAGATCATTTTGCATGAGAGTCGTGTTGTTTTCGGAATGGGCGCAGGAGTACAATTTCGTGTCATCAGCGAACAACTTCACTTTGCAGTGAATTTCGTCTGGCAGGTCGTTCACATAGATCAAGAAGAGTAAGGGTCCGAGCACAGATCCCTGGGGTACGCCGCTAGCGACCTCCGTCCAGTTCGAGGGGCGCCCGTCAATGACCACTTGTTGTTTCCTTCCGGTTAGAAAAGCCTCAATCCATGCCAGGAGCTTACCTGATACCCCATAGCTGCGGAGCTTGCTCAAAAGTCTCTGGTGGGGTACAGAATCGAATGCTTTCTGGAAGTCGAGATAGACAACATCTATTGGGTTCGCCTGTTCGATATCCTTGCTCCAGTCATCCAGAACTTAGAGCAGTTGAGTGTTGCACGACCTTCCAGGTCGAAAGCCGTGCTGATGGGTGGTCATGAGCTCATTTTCAGTGAAGAATTTCAGCAATTCGTCTCGAATTAGAGATTCCAGCACTTTACACGGTATAGCTGTGAGGCTCACTGGGCGGTAATTGCATGGTTCCACCTTGCTTCCCTTTTTGTAGATGGGAACCACACGTGCCAGTTTCCAATCGTCAGGAACGCAACCAGTGTCCAGTGACTTACGGAAGAGGTAGGCAAGGGGCACAGAGAGGGAGCTATGAGCCTCTTTCAGTACCCTCGGGTGCAGGTCATCCGGTCCCGGTGAGCTCAACACTTTAAGGCCTCGGAGCTTCTCTTCCACTGCCCGCGTTGTTATGGTGATGTCATCGAGACCGAGCGACTGGACGCGATCGTCCAGAGTTGGCACATCGTTTGCATCTTCAGTGGTAAAAACTGAAGCAAAGAACTGGTTGAGGATACCAGCCTTAAGTTTGGCATCGCTAACCAATTGACCATTTGAATCTTTGAGATCCCCGACCTTGGGCTTGGTCTTGAGTCTACTGTTTGTATACTTCCAGAAGGCCTTGGGGTTGGTCTTCAAGTCAGTAACCAGCTGTGCCTCAAAACTGGTGCGGAGTCGTCTTGTTAGTTGCCTAAGTTTGTTCCTGCAGGCACGGTATCTTGCTATGTCAAGTGGGTCATTGGAGGTGGCAGCTTTCATCCATAGCATGGTCTTCTGCTTCCGTAGCTGAAGGGCAGCACTTGTCATATAGATGTTTTTGCGTGCCTTAAAACCCTTAGATAGCGGAATACAGGTGGAGACTATCCTGTCCAATGTTGATTTCAGGTAAGCATAGCCTTCCTCCACCGAACCATCTTGCAGGGGTGACCAGTCCTCCTCGACTAGTGTTCGGTTTAAACGGGTGAAATCACCTCGGTTGAAGTTGAGTTTGGGCTGATAATTTGAACACTTGACTGTATAGCAGGCTAGGCGAAAGTTGAGGACCGCATGGTCACTCTTGCCCAGGCCTGCTAAATACTCAAGGTCACTGAGCATACCTTCCTCTGAAGTCAGGACCAAATCGAGCGTACTGGCTCTTTCAGCGCCACGAAACCTCGTAGGCCTGGTGATATGTTGAAAAAGGAAGGAGTCCTGCACTGCTGCCAAAAATTTGTGCCCATGATTTGTGTCAGGAGCAAGACAGAAGTTCTTTTCCCAGTCGATTTGCGGTAGATTGAAGTCTCCTGCTATGAGTAGGTGGCTATATTTGGATGAGTGAATGATATGAAAAAGTTCCACTATCTCATCTATACTGGCATTCGGGTTGACACTTGGACTTCTGTACATGCATCCAATCAGGAGGACGTCAGTCCCTCTGAGTTTGACTTCCAGCCACAAATGCTCAACTAAATGTGGTTCAACCTTTTCAACCTGCACAGCAGATACATTGTCTGTAACATAGATGGCCACCCCTCTGACACCTCTTCTTCCAAGATCATGATCTCTCAAATCAAAGTTGGTGAATAGAGAGTAGCCTGGGATGGCAAGGAGGGCAGGTGCAATTGGCATACTCTGTGCTTTGGGTATGACCTCTGTGATTAAGATGATGTCTGGTTCTTTCTCGGATATCAGCAGACAAAGTTCGTCCCTTTTGTTTAGAAATTGGTCAGCATTTGTATACATGCACCTAAGAGTCTTGTCCTTGCCTTCTGGATTTCCTGGCCGTGTGTCTTGTGGAATTCTTGCACCTTGCGAATGGCTCTCTACAGAAGGCCTAGACAAGGGTTCTAAAGCGACAGTGGCTGAGGTAGATAGTCAGTCCTCAGTCTGTTGCCCACCAGCAGGTGGATGGACTGGTCCTGCCAGCGCTGACACTTCCGATGACACATTCCTGGATAGCGAGTCAGACCGAGACAAGTTCTGGGATCGTGATCGAGCCCCAGAGGAAGCCTGCCCAGCCTGAATGCTACTAGACGCTTCAGTAGGAGGCTGTGTGCTGGTCTGATTGGCACGCACAATTTTTCCTTTTCGGATGGTGAGATTTACCTCGCCCGCGTTCTTCCTGGCTACAAGTTCCTCGCGCAGCTTCTTGGAAGCCTCTCTTTCAGCAGGTGTGAGGTCAGGGGTTATGTAAATATTACCCCACTTTTCAGAGCCCCGGAGTTGTGGGGCTGAACGTAGAATGTCCCACTTGGCCCCTGGAGTCTCGAGGGTCACTATTAACAGCCTGTTGCGACCAGATACAGCTTTCCCCACACGAAATGACTTGGAGACAGCTACATTCACTCTGAATGCCTCCTTTGTTATGTTCTGGAACTGCTTGATGTCATGTTCAGATCTTTCACTTACAGATCCACCGGCCATCTCGGGGAGGTTGTGGATCACCAGATTGTTTTTCCTTCTGTCCTTGTCCAGAAAGTCGTCAAAGACTTTAGCCACACCCTTCATGTCCGAGGATACAGACCTTGTGAAAGTGCTTTCAGATGGTATTTTTGCAGACACCTTCTCATACATTTCAGAGCAAGTGCCTTTCACAATCTCAGCGTAACTGGCTTTTTGGTCATGAAGCTCTTTGAAGGACCTTTCAATCACTTTGGTCTGGGTTCCTACTGCTGCTTCCTGCTCCTTAAGTGACTGGGCCACAAGCTTGACATGTTCCTTCATGGACTTGTCTAGCTTGTCAAATTTGGCTTCAAGGGTACCCAAACGCTTGATGTCATCGCTTTTTCTGGGTTCGATGAGCTTTTCGCCTAAGAACCTCTCATGCTCCCGCAACATGTCCATCATGAGACTCATTTGGGACGATACAGCAGACTCCAGGCCTTTGATCTTACTCTCGAGGGGATCCGAGTGAGAGTGCCGAGACTTGCTGCTTTTTAGATCCTTTTTGCAGGCTGCGCAGAGCCAGGCAAGAGATTTGAAGCGATCAAGAGCCCTGATAGCCAGTTTCTGGACACCCTGACACCCCGCATGAAACCACGCATGGCAGCAGTCGCAGAGTATTCCAGCCTCACCCTCTTTAACAGGATTGCCACAAATTTTCTTTCCAGGGCCGCCATTGCAGATTGAATTAGTCTCCTCACTACCTGTGTCACTGGAAGAGCGAGAGAGATAACTGGAACTGGCTGACCCTTTTCCAAATGGGGTGTACACACTTTCTGATAACTTACCAACTTGAGGTGTAATGTCGGTTTTGCCGGGGTTTTGATCCATACCTGTAGATGCTCCAGATGATATTTCCTCAGTCAGTTCAAAAATACCACCTTCATTTCTCTTCTTCGCCACGCCGGACCGCACCGCGCCGGGGATATCGGACTGCGGCGTTTCCGCGGGATTCATTGACTGGCGTTCCTTGTTTTGCTCAGCTGTTTGTTTCTTCCGTTGAAGAACTGGGGAGTGTTCTAAAGGCATTCTGCCTTTCTCCTTCTCCACAAAAGATAAGGATTTGAATTCAGGGGTTTTGATTATCACGTAAGGATTAAATTGGTAATTGAGGATACAAAAACGGATCGAATACCTGACTACAATAGCGCACATGTGACATGACTAAGACGTCCAGTGTAGTCGGAAGTACACTTGGAGGAAGCACATGCCTGGCGTGCATCAGGCTGACAAGAACGCCTAAACATTTGGTGACGATATAATCAATGTGTGGTTCAAAGGTCAGTCGGCTATCAAAGATTACACCTAGATTTTTAACAGTTGACACCGGTTGCAGAGTCTCTCCCAGGAACTGCACTCGGACCGGATCCCTCTCGGCAGCCTGTAGCGCTGATCGGCCTCCGGCGACCATCATCTCGGTTTTTGCAGCGTTTATCTTCATGCCGTTCTGGAGAAAGTAGGTGGCCAGAGTGTCCGTTTTCGAGGAGACTGATATCTTGAACAGCTTGGGGACCCACAGCTTGTATGCAGTAGTCCAGGTGTGGTCTCACATATGTGTTGAAGAGGCTGGTGAAGTTTGTTGCTGTGATTTGGTCAAAGGACCTCTTTATCATTCGGAGAGCTACCATTGCTTTGCTCGCAGCTCTTTGACAGTGACTAGTAGGTCGAAGGTCGTTTGTTATAGTCACCCACACGTCTCGCTCCTTATCTGTGACTTCTAGTTTGACATACCATTGCTTGCAACCTATTCATGCAAGTAACTTTTTCCTTGTCTCTCAGTATGCAAAAATCAGAGGGTAAGGTAAGGTAAGGTTTGGTTATCTTCTGACCATTCTGCTCTTTGTGTATATTCGCCATCCCACCAAGTGTTTCTCATTTACTAGGTGTTTTTTTTTAATGTTTGGAACATGTTTGGACAAGGAAATGTCCCAGTCCACGGCGGTGTTTCCAAAAAATGCAGACGAAAAAATGACCGGACAAAAAAAATAACAACCAAACACAGACAAAAAATATCGACCAAAAAATGTAAAGACAAAAGAATGAGCCAACAAAAAATGCATAGACCAAACCAAAAAATGTACCCATAGACAAAAAAAGCAAGACATACCAAAATTTATGCTTGAGAAGTGAACTGAACTTGTTGTAAATATTTACAGAATATTGTCTGGATGCAAAATACGAGGAACAATTTCCATCAGAAAGTTCAAGATCAAAATCAGCCACTTTTGAAATTGACTAGGTACTTACAAAACAATCGGAGAAACCATCCTAAGAATGAGCACACTTATCAGTCCAACCTACCCTAAGTTGAATACCCAACAAACCAATAAAAAATGCACCTACCTATAGTTCGTTTTTTTTCAAAAGGACGCTGGCTCAAAGTGCATTATCGAAGCTCTCACGTGAGTTTTGGCAGCTTCAGCGTCTGGCTCAGAATTTCTTGCCGAAAAAATGATCGATTTCAAATTGTGCTCGGTAAATACATGGAAATTGTGACTTCAAAAATGAGCATACTACGATGACGTCACTGGTGGCAGCTGCCACCCAATGTTCGTACGAAAGCATTCATTGCCAACGAATTTTGGGAAAACTTCGTTTTTTGCTCTTACCGAGGCCCGAATCGAGTAATCGATTCTTTCCATGATAGCTATGCGTTGCATTGCAATGCAAGTTCCACAGCATGACGTCACCACTGTTCTCATGTCTAGTTCCAAAACGCAGGCATGGAATTTATCGGGAATAATTCACATGTTAAAATAAGGCGACGTTCGAGTTTCTCAGGTTCAGTTTTTGCCCGTTTTGCTAGCTAAAACACGTGCTTGTTGGAAAAACATACTTGGAGCCAGCGTCCTTTTGAAATAAAACGAACTATAGTGCTACCTACTAATCCTCTCGAATAAAAAAAAATCGAAACGCCTCCTTGTTTGCGCCATTTATGCCGCACTTTGACCGTTGTATCTTATATGCCATAGGCTAAAAAAGGTGACGTAATAATACCGATGCAATATGCCACTTGCTAGCGGCTATTACTGTGCAATTTTCTGCACTTTTGGCGAAAGAGCCATCGATAAGAAAAACGTACTGTGACTTATTAGCTGATAACATCAAGCACCTGACTTTAAAATCATTTCGTAATCAAATGCTCGTACAGAGAACTAATTCAATTTTATGACGTCAATTTTTTTGCTACTCTGGTGGTACCTTCGTTTGTTTGTCACTTGTTTACCGCCGCAGTCTACAGTGTAGAGTGTAACCTCGGGGTGCGAGTGACCCATGACCTCGCCCACGTGATCGACTGTAGCCTCGCCAACGGCCAAGGCCCTCGAACACCGCTCTACAGCCTCGCAAAGGGTTCCGTTTTCTCAATTCATGCATTACTGGTGAAGGGTGACTGGTGAGTTCAAGCTTCAAGCGACTAGTAATTGCATTATGTCAATTAGTCTACGTCGTACCGGCCTCGCCCTCGCATGCGTTTTTCGTCCCGTCCCCTAATGACCTTACTGCCTACTAGCCGGCTAGGATGTGGCGAAAACGTTATTCAAGACGCAATGCAGGGTTGCCCAGGTGCCCAAACCATCCTGAAACGTGTGAGGCGCTGTCACGAGCCTTCGTAGTTCGTTTAGTCATTTTGGGTCATTGGCGTCTCAGTCTAGCCATAACAATAAGCCAAGGTGGTAGAATCGCGGTCGAGCTTCACCCATGTTTATCGTGATCACTACTATGGTCTCCTTTCCCGCAGGTTCTCATGGCATCCAATACCAACATCGCATCCAAAGAAGACGCGACGCCAAAAGCAACCGCGGATCCCGACCCGAAACAGAGCCTGGCTCCGGCTCCGGATCCGGCCTCGGACGTGGACCTGGACACGGATCCCGATCTCTCGGTGGGAGCCGCGGAGCTGCGGGAGCTAGAGCGCTCCTGTCGGTGGCAGCTGTCTTCGGCAGGTCACTAGCCAGCCGAGTGGCGGGCGCGGCTCCATAACCGGCTCGGGCTGTTGTTGTATGGCCAGGTGCGGTTTGACGAGGCGGCTGAAGAGTACAGCGCTGCGCTGGAGGCCTGGCCGAGACTAGCGGCGGCCGCGCACAACCGTGCTATCGTCCGCTACAGGATGGGTGAGTGGCGTTCCAAGAGTGGCGTTACAAGACGGGGCTCCTACAAGATTTATCATCAGTGATGATCAGCGTTCCACATACTAATTGTCGATGGTACGGTGACATTCTTCCTCATATGGGTCGATCTTTTGCAACTGTATAATGCCACATGAGTGTCAATTTGTGTCATGCACCCTGCTGAGACAGATAGGAATATTTACACGCCTCTCTTGTGTGCCCACAGGCTATTTCCAGGAGGCAGAACGAGACCTCCTGCTGGCGCAGTCCTTGGAGCCTGAAAATACCGAGATCGCCACTGGGCTTCAGGAGACGCGACGATTACTGAAAGGGATCCCTGCAGAGGGTGCCAGCTGACAGGGTTGGGTCCACTGTAGTGTACAGTCCCCAGGTCAATTGGTTCGGTGACTTTCACATTATAGCAGGCCCTTCCTCGGTCAGGCTTGATGGATCCACCGTCACTTTGCGCGGCACTTTTAAGACAGACTGTACAGTTGAGTGTGCACGCGCCAGTTACTGAAAGGGATCCCCGCAGAGAGATGGTGGCAGGGTGGGCGGCTGACGAGTGACGATCACGCTCTACTTTACGGGTGTTCACTGTGAAATGAAAGCGTTAGTTCATACGCGGGACGACCCTTCAGTGATTTTCCCATCTTGTGAGTCATCATATAAGCGGGCTTTCATATTGTCAATTCGATTGTGGCTATACCATACTGTATTATCATCGCGCTTTTTATTTCAAGAACGGACAAAACTAGGGCTATCGTTTTGTAATAGGTATTCGTCAAGTTGCGATAGTAGGGACACGGGCGCGGCAAGTACTCTCGCCGGTCACCTGGAAGCGGTGGCAGTAGGTGGTGTCGCGTGAGGCGTTCATCTGCACGAGCAGACGGAACGACGGGAGGTCGTCGAGCGAATGGTCGAGGCGAAACTGTGGGGAGGTACCGCGCCCGCGTTCCCGCCTAGCTACAGAGCTGACACCGAACTACATTACTCAAGTCCACTAAATGACCTACTGGCTTGCTCAACTGTTCCAGGAACTCGCGCCTACTGAACTTTCGTCACCGAGAAGATTGTTGTATTAACTAGCTATCGGCAGTCCAGTCCAAGACTGGAAACGCTGGCTCTCAACTGGTTCGTAACAATGCCTACCTTACTGTAGCCTACGACTTGTCTTATAACGACGGCTGATGCTATCTTGATTTGCGACTGATTGATAGCATGCTATAAAATATGTCCGACCCGCATCACCTGCCACCGGTAATTTGTTCCGGTATTTTTATCTGATTTCTGTGATTTAGGTAGGTCGCGATACGATTAAATGAACATGCGAGTTGCAAAATGCCTGAATTTCACTGTACTGTGGCCTGTGCCGATGTGCTGTGAGGTGTTAGCACGTTGGATGGTTGAAATGTGAAGATTTGATACACATGCTGGATGGTTTACCTACATGTGCTGCTGTCTTGTACTGCTGCCGACTACCGTATAACCAAGCTCAGCATACACATTTTACATTACGTCATGTGTGTGTATTGCGTGCTCCAAAACGGTACTGGGATGAAGACTGAAGTCTAACACTGCAGACCCTGGCGAGGACGCAGTTTTTTATAGAAAAGGTCGAACGTGTTCGCCAGTTGGGACGAATTGATATCAAGATTCAAGACAAAGACAGGATGAGGACGCGACCATTGTCTCCCTGACACGGCTTTGTGAGGGAGCTGATTGAGTGAGACGGGCGAGCGAGCACGGTTTGTTACAGAGGACCATGGCGTTTTGTGATCGGTGTAGGTACTGCGAAGTGCGCCAAGAGAATCGCTGAGCTGAGTAGAGATGTCGACTATATACTTTATGGAGCACGGTCTTGCCATCTACAGATTCGGCACACGGTACTGTACTTTGAGCCGTATATACGAGTATGTCTGGCTGTCTTGAAAGAAGGGCTAAAGTTTCAACGGATACCTAACTAGCACCTACCTACTGAATTAATTCGCCGTTCACGCGAGACTGGGAGGGTTATACCGGCGCAAAGGGAGTAGGCCTATTAGACCGAAGCCCAGTGTATGCCAATCGAATCAATTCGTGTTTCGTGCGGGTATTGACTGGCTGCCTTTGACGGGCTCGGTCGTGCGGACTTTAACTCAGTTTTCTATCTGCGGCACTCAAGCTAGTGCAGTGCATAATGGAGCACCTGGTCGCACATGCATGTGAAATGCCAGCTTCGTTGAGAGATACGCACGGCACAGCTTATGCCGTGTCGGGAGTTGGACGACTTTTCGCACTTAGCAGGTAAATGGGTGACCGATCTAAGCAGTCCTGTTAGGCCCCCACGTGAACTTGAAGTTCAACGTTCGAATTGAAGTGGCGAAAGAGTTTGACCTTGTCATTTAGGTACCTAGCCACCACGCCCGCAATACGTGGGCGGTGGGATTAAGATGAGCCGCTCTCGTATCTGGGAGCACGTAATATCATCGTCGATTATACCATACCAAAATGGGGTGTATGACACCTGCCCACTTTCACATCGGGTTCGACCCATACGGCATTCGCAATTATGAACCGGTCATCGTTGCTGCCTTACGGTCAGGTCACACTACCCTCGAGCCCAGAGAGGGCTCGACAGTCGACCCAGTTTTCATCGGCGTCGACACTCGACAGTGTCCAGTCTAGCGTATAATAGCGAACCCAGTCCCATGCCCTTTCTCTTTCCTTTCTTGGACAGTCGGGCGCGCTACGCAGTGGAGCCATTGAACTTCGGGTCGCTTCTGGAGGGTACCTAATCGATGCACCGAGAGTCTCACCGGCAGCCGACCGTGAGCGGTGCTGCCGCCTAGCGGGGGATCCGTGAACTACGCCGGTGCATGGGCAGCCTCGAAGGCTCATGTTCGATGGTATGGGGGGGGGGGGGAGGGGGCGGGATAGTGGGTGTAGCGGGCCGGCGCCGGCCGCGCAGTAGCCCCTGTAGCTCATGACTGAGGTTCATGGCTGTTCATACGTACGGTGCAGCAAGAGGAGAGGGGAGATTGGTATCTTGTCCACGTCGGGCTGACTGTGGTATCATCGGCTGATGTTGCAAAACGTAGCAGCTGGCCACGGCCGAGGGGAGCGATGCCCCCTCCCTGCAACCACTGGTGCCCCTGGTAGATGCGCAGTCTACCGTGATGGCACATCCTGTGGGACAATAATGCCGTTGTGATGTTTTAATTTCGTCATCCTGACTCAATAGTCGTTTTGTCATCCATTGGATAATACAGGACAAACTATATCCGGAAGTTGGCATTGACCTTCAGTGGGTCATCGAATAATAATGTAGTAGTGTTTATGTCAATTCAGGTCAGCTGGAACTGGGAATGTCAGGTCATAAGAGGTCATTAAATGTCATTATGAAGGATTGGCTTTCGACGAATACACTGATAACTCAAGAGCTGATAGAACTATTTCATAGTTCAAGGGCAGTGACCTGGTGACCTGACCTTGACCTGGCGACATGAACATGACCCGGTATGTAAAACAGACGAAAAAAGGACAACAGCTTCGCTCAAATTTCACATGTTTTCAATACACTTTGCCCTTTGGAAGGGTGACGACTGACGATATGTCCTTGAACTCCTTAGTTGACCCTTCCCTGCCAGGTGCTACGTTTTCCGCGTTGATTTGATTGCCAATTGGCATCCCCCCATCGTCAGAATGGACCGAATAAATAACCTTACTATGAATAAACGTTAAAAATAAGGGTACCAAATATAATGTCCCACCCTACAAACAATTCTGTTGTGTCTTCATTGCTGAACTATACCGTCACTTCATGCTCATCTAAACCAATCAAACTCGCTAAACCAGTCGAAAACATCCGACCCGACCGAGATTCGATCCCGCCCCGTCCGGTCGGTTCCCGATTCGGCGGCGCAGGCGCCCGGTAGTGACGTCACGCTTGCTCAAGGTCACCGCCGGGCGGCCGGCCGCCGCGCTGCCACTTGGCCATTGCAACGTGCAGAGCCGGCCGGCGGCCAGTGTTCACGAGCGCCAGTGGGGGAGAGGTGCTGCTCGAGTCTGTGATCCCACTGCGCGAAAATCGAGTGAACTGCTTGTGAGTGAGGGTGGACGGAGTGTAAAATTGTGAAAGTGTCGTCTCGGATTGCAGGTCGTCGCGGACGGACGCGGCGACTGACAACCATGAGTCCTGCAAGTGAGTGAACTGCGCCGTTGGCCCGGTCATGGGCTGGTGCTGGGGGACGGCCACGTCGTTGGCTACTGCCAGGGCCGCCCGCCCGGAGTGTAAAGCGTAGGACGTCGACTAGTGGGGGGGGGGGGGGGGGCATGGGCGGCTGCTCAACGACAATGACGGCCTGCAGCGAATGCTATCCTTTGGTAAAATTCCATGGAGACATTGGACATAAATATCGCTGGCCGGTTGCCAAGTTTGGGAACGATCCGATGCTTTTGGCAGTGAGGGGTTTCGCTGGGCCCATTCCCCCAGTTTCGTCGGTTCGTCAATGTCCTCGGCTGCCACTGTGATGTGCATTATTTATTCGACCGAGGTTCAAATCGCGGCGAGTCAAATGGGGGCTGGGGCCGCTACGGGCTCCGTTGCTAGGCAACCGGTACCGTCGCAGTAGGTTCATGAGTCGGCGTGGTCTATTCCGAGCCTTTACCGTGGACGCGTAGCCTGAATTGCACTTCGAACATGAAGTTCTCTGCGTAATGGAAATTTTGAAATGAAATGCTATTTTCTCGGGGTTCAGGGTTCTATTCGCTGAATTTACAATGCCTTTGAGTGAATGACTAATTTGTTAGAGTGCTGGTCACGTGCTGCGAGCATGCATTGCACGTGCCTTCATCCAACTTCCAGGGGTACAATTACGCTGAGGCACTGCTTTTTCAATTGCCTAACGCGTATTTCAGAGAGTGGCATTTTTGAATTTCTGACCAACCATACTTGAGACGGCATTTCGGGAACCTGCATTGTCCCACAGTCCAAGGTTTCTCTTTGTCGTGCCATGCTATTGCAACAGTAGGCATAAATAATTTGTTTAATTGACAATAGGTATCTCAGAGTCGTTTTCCGCGGTATGTCAAGAGATAAGCGGTGTTGCAATAGTTGACTGATAAGCGGGCGAGATGTCAGATGATAGTATCCTACGTCTTGCCGTCGATGTTAGACATGTTCCTGACCTACTACCACAGGCATGCTGTCGTCTCACGGGAACCGCATCAGGGCTAATTATTGCATCAGGTAGCAGACAGACGCAGGTGCATATCAGTCAATGCTTCAACGTTATCCGCAGGCCTGCAGTGCAGTGTGCTAAAGGCTTAGCAGCTTAGTGGTCGAAACGCCGCCTTTAGCAAAGCAACCTGTCTCGTTTTGAGACCTGGGCGGCACACTCAATTGCCCTTCTTTATTATATTTATGCCTTAGAAACAGGTCGCGATGAGAAGACAAAGACGGGAAGTGAGAGATAGCTGATCCCAGTTCAATGCGATTTCCAGGTTACATACTATATAGTTTGTAAATTGTAATCCTTGTTTGTTTTCGTTCTCGTTCTACAACTCGTTCTACTCGTTCTCGTCCTACATATAAATTGTCTCGTATAAACTCGTTCTACATATAAAATGCATGGTAATTGATGTGGAGACGTTTAGTAGGTACACTAATCTACATTGCGATAGTAATTCTAAAGGACCTGGCTTAGGGATGTCTTACTCCTAATTCAATGCATGTTGTCCGAACTAATTAAATCGTTTACCCATTGCATCGTATTTCATGAGTTTTGACAAAAGTCAGTGGAAAAGACCATGCCATTTTGAAGTACAGACCCGCCATGACATTGCAAGGTCATGGTCTGGTATAGACATGGTACGGACAGTAGTTACCATTGCCCTAGCCAGCGGTTACTTCTCGTTTGTTACCAAGTGCAACAGCCATTTTACGTGCTCCTCATGAGAGCTGCAAGTCTATTACTCTGCCGGGAGGCTCCTGATGTGCCAGGGATAATGGCGAGCCCGCGGCCCTGGCGTGGCGGGGAGATAAAATAGTCTGGCTGCTCCGTCTGCTACATAGATAAGACCCAGGAAGGATATAAGTTGAATAAAGTTCCACCGGGCTCCCAAAGGGAGAAAATGAAAAGATACTAGACTAGTTTTGATCGCATGCACTACATATGCCAAGGCCGTATCCACGTGCATGATTTTGTCACTGGTTTAACGTCTTTTTATGCTTTTACTTTTAACGTTTTTCTTTGCAACCTGCTTCATTTATTTGCAAAACAATTCGCTCTCTGCAATGTTAGTGAGTAACAGCCCTATTGTCAACAGTGACTCTAATCGTCGCAGATCATCACTCTAAACTAGCATCGACTTTTTCGGGCCCGCGCTGAAATCCTCCGTGCATCACTTTCAATATCGCATGCCCTCACCATGAAGCGGCCAACTTTTATCAGTGACTTACGAATGCCAGCCCATGTCCTACTCCAAATGAGTGAACATCTTGAAAAGTCGCAATGATCATTCCATCGCAGCCAAGGCCCGTCGATTTCATGTCCGCAAATGTCTTTGACCTTGAAAGTTACGTAACCGGATAAACAACCGCTTTTCGGGGAAAGTTGAACCTCCGAGTCCCAGATCATGATTCCCTTTTCCTTTTCACTCCCATGCACTGATCAACCTCAAGTGTGATGCTAGTGCTCCTCATTGGAACCAAGAAAAACCCAGGACGGATTTGTTGTTCGTGGATTTTCTCGGGAAAAAAGACTTGTTTACAATAGTATCACGCAGAAAACCGTCATAATTGGTGCACAGTACGTACCGTGCACGCGACTCGCTCAGTCAAAGCTGAATTCGTGCAGACTCTCCAGGGGCGGTGCAGTGTTGATGGCATTCATAACAGAGTTGTTTACATTTGGCATGGCTGGTTTGCGATTGGGCCGCAGCGGAATGCTCTAGTTAGTGAGGCCTCGTGACGATTAGCCTTTACATCTCTGCTGAACAGCTGGAGGGTCTTGGCTGGATGCAGCTGCTCCTCGATTGAAAGAAGCGGATTAACAATGTTAAAGGGACCCTCCCACCTTAACATTAGTTTTGAGTTGAGATAGCCAAGTTTGCGGCCAGGCTCAGAAACCACCATTTATCCTGGTCGCAACCCCCGCAACTTTATGGTGTTCAAGAAATTTCTTCCCTTTACTTGCAGGGTGGGACCAGCGTGGTCCCTATCTCTTAACCATTACGGGAGTCTGATGACGTCATCAGGCTTTCGAACGTCCGTTAAATGTTTGACTAAAACGTTTTGTAGCACGCGGTGGTATATGCTGCATTGCGCGCAACAAATGCCGCACTTTCAAATAAAGTCGCTAGGAACAGCGGAGATCCCAAAAAGTAAACAAAAGTAAAAGTCTAATATCTTGAAAACCGGTGAATATTGTTCGATGAAATTTGGTAGATATTCGTTTTTGCTCTTTCTGAACCGAGCGACATCACTTTTATGCCAATTCATTAACTTTTTTGAAGGTGGGAGGGCCCCTTTAAAGGATGCAAATCACCTGCCGTTGGTTAACCCGCGCCCTGCTGGGGGTCCTGGATTTCCACGCCCTGCTGGGGGGGGGTGTTTGAACACCCCCCCTTGTAACTCGGCTCCTGGGCCATGTAGCGATACGCAGAAGGCAGCGTTCGAAAGAGCGTAAAAAATAATGACGAAATCACTTCGGTCAATTTTTTGGTCAGGTCAAAGGTCAGGTCACCAGAGGTCATTGAAGGGAAAATTTCGCCGATTTCCAGGTCCAATGTCGAAAATTTCCAAGAAGCCAACGCATAACTCGGGAACCAATAGAGCTACAGCGCCGCGGAAAAGCGCATTCGATAGCCCTATTAACGCCCTTTCTGAGTAATTCTTTCAGATTTGACCTAACGTCAACGGTTTTGCCTGCAGGGGGCAAAAACTGCAAAAATAACCGATTTTTTCGAAAACAGTTTTTCTGCAATAACTTTTGACCCAAGCCTTGTACGAGCTTACTTTTACCGGCATCGTGTTCCTCTCGTCATGACGCATCGAATGAACTATAACTTGACCTTGAAAGGTCAACTTGAAAATTTGACCTCAGGTCAAGGTCATGACCTGACCGGAAAGGGTCATGTTGCATATCAGTCGATCCGTATCGTCGAGCTGAACACATCTAAGGCGTTTTCATCGCTCTAGCATGCCTCTATCAAAAGTTATTTGCGAAAAACTGTTAGATACCATTCGTGACCTAAGATGACCTCAGGGCATAAACAAGGGTCACGGACACCATTTTCAAGTTCAGTGTGTCTAAACCACTTGTAATTCGGTGTTTGGGAGTGTTTATAATGTCTTTCATCCAAAAGAGGCGCATTTCAATTTTCTCCCATTGACTTATAATGGGGAGGTCGCAAAATTGACCTGACCTTAGGTCATCGATATCAAAATTCTGAGATATACATTTTGTACATGTTATTGCTCTTAGCAATCGCTGAAAGTTTCAAAGCGATCGGTCACTCGGTGTAGCTATGACAGACATTGAAAGTTTTTATGAGGTGAGGTCACTTCAAGTGACCTGGTGACCTGACCTTGAATGACCTTGGTCTGAAATTTTCACAACATGTGTAGAATTGATGTATAATAAGGTGTACCAAAAACGGCGGCGCTCCGCGCCGCCGTTTTTGAGATATTCGCGAAAAACCACAGGGGGGGTGTTCAAACACCCCCCCCCAGCAGGGCGCGGGTTAACAATCGCATGTGTCTAAGGGTCTGACGTTATAGACGGACATGCTGCTCTGTCGATTAGTCACTGTATAGAAAATATATTGTTTTAGTCTTTAAACCCTAGTCTGAGGGGCCTTACCCTGAAAGAGCCTGTTGGCATGACATGAACCCCAGTCTGCTTCCATGACACCGCGTCCTTGTTTTTAATAAATAGGCTGCTCTCGCCTCTCTCGTCGTTCAAACTCGATATGTTTTACTATAAATTAAAGATGCCTTTGGCGTGCGGCACTCTTCCATCTTCATCGAGATGGCTCTGTTCATATTTAAGTGACTTCTTCAAAGGTCAGACCGTCTGCCTGGGAGGTCAGGTCTGCCAGGTCAAAGGTCAGGCCTATAGCCGACTGGGAGTCAAAACAGCGATACGTTAAGAAATGTACATATCCTAGGTTCTGAATTGATTGCAGTGATGCGAGCCA